GGCCGTGGAAGAATCACAAACGATTCGCAAACATCCAAATTACGATTATTTAAATCCTTCAATTTTCTCTTAATCCACACTTCATCCATCACAATGTATCCATCTTTAATGCAACAAACTCTGCTTGTTTTCTTCCCGCTCTGGCTCGGTTCTAACTTTGCTCTGATCAGCAGCTCTGATTGGTCAAAGCGTGGCGTGTGTCTGTGCATGTTCATGAGAACTACACACACGTATTTGGCGCAACGCATCATTTACAATTTACAAAGTTGGCGATTCCACAGCAACAGATCAGAAAAACCAACACAGTAACTGCAATAATACAACCTTGCTCTAAACATATGTTACATTACGTCTTCCTGCTGCGCCCGCAGTGACGTGAATTTTTGCACACATTTATTTTGTTGCTACCCTTTTCGTTCTTTAGTTCTTATTCATTAATTCCTCAGTGCTCGCGCAGTTTACTCCTGTGTGGGGGCGCGCTTCCGTGTCCGTTGCACGCTTACACACACAACCAAACCCGCACGCTTATTACTGCTGCACATTGGAGAAAGACACTTCTCACACTTGTTCGCAATGACTGATCGCAAACAACACAATCCATGCTTGAGCTGATTGGCCTCAGTCGCCGAGTGTAGACAGGTAGAGAAACGGAAACTTAACACGGACCTCCAGGTAGTCAATTAAGTTAGTATTAGCGCCACCAGCTGGACCGAGCGTTGTACTACATCACATTTGGGCTGGCACGGTTGAAAAAAGTCATCTCTGACCGCGGGCCGTCTTTACACCCCTATGGTGTGAAAACATATGTGACCGTGCCCTTAGGTGCATATCCCACATGTGGAGCTAAGAACTGACCAAGAGTAGCTTTATACAGTGCAAACAATTATACAATATGAAATGATAATTACTTGACACAAGTGGTTTTTTATATTGATTTGAGGACATTTGTCTTATTTCAAGAACTGCTTGCTTTGCTTTATTTTCTCAAGGGAGAGATTTCTTGAATATTCTTAAAACAAGATAATGTTGCAGCGTTAATTTTTTTGACAAATTATTATTGGCATATTTTTTGTCACAAATATATTTTTGGGGACAAAAACTAAAATAGAAGTCATTCATTGTGACAAAGACAATCACTAAATTGATCGAGGTTTTAGTCAATGAATAAAAGACGCAACAAAAAAAAGACCATGACAAAATCCAATCAGAACAAGGGATAGATAAGGCAAATGTGAAAACAATCAATCAACTGGCCGGAGTACGCTAACCACAACACTTCTCCCGCAAGCTTTAATAAGAAAGTTTAATGTTAGTGTGGCCCGTGAGTTTCATATGACACTTAACAGCGCTGTGTGCGGAGGTGAAAGAATCTAACAATCACGGTGTGGTCTATGTGCTGTCGGAACAATTGATATAATATGATCGCGTACATGGGTATCTACTTGTTTCTCATTTATTTCATTTATATTTTGATTTTATTTGTTGTTGAAAATAAAAAATAAAATATATTTTTTAAATAAATGTTTTCTTGCGGCCCAGCCTCATCCACACTCTGCATCCAGTGGCCCCCAGGTTAATTGAGTTTGAGACCCCTGTTTTAAAGTATCCATTGTTGATGAAAAGAACAAGAAAATGTCCATGGCTGGGAGAAAAAGAGGACACCTGAGGGCCCTTTTTACGTTTGACAAAGAAGAAAACAAGAGATGGCAATATGAAGCCAATATGGAGAGGGATCACAGCCTTAACATAGTTTAAGCTTTGAGGTGATTAATTTGCTCTAATAACATCATGTGGACAAATGCATGTCCAAGGTATATTTCTATGCCTAGACTTTTTTTTATTGAGGCAAATGACATTAAATATAAACAAGATTGCTCCAATATACCTGTAACATTCATGTGACACGACCAACAAAGTAGCCTAAAGTAAAGAAGCCTCTCATGTCACGTTTGTCATTGTATGCTACAAGAAATGATACTGTACATATTTGTACAAAAATGTTCCTATTTATACAAATGTCATGAGCAAAACGTTTCAGAAAATAAGTATATTTTTGTGGACTAAAATTGCATAATATTTTTCCACTAAAATTGTGATTAATATAAAATAAATTGTAGTCAAAAGACGAAGACTAAAACAAAATTAGAATTATCTATTGGAATCACTTGTGGTAAAACCAGCTGGTTAATCGTTCGCAGCCGGCTCGACACTTCCAGTCAAAAAGTCTTCTGTTTCTGAGGCTAAATGAATAGACTCAAGTATCAGGTGGCAGAGATGAGCTCATGACGTTCAAACGCTTAGTATATAGAAAATGATACTCCTCTTCTTCAACAAAAAGACCAGCCAATCGTTCTGTAGCAGCATCCGGAGCAAATCGCAGCTGTGCACAAGGCATCCTGTTGCACTAGAGGCCTGCCCAATTTAAGGTGGTATAGAGAGAAATCTACCACATTTAAGGTGGTATATGGATGCTATGTAACACTCAGTCTACAGCAAGAGGAAAGTGCTGAGCCCAAAATCTAGAATCTCTTTTAGTAGTACCCTCTCTTTATACCACCTTAACTGAGTTGTTGTGTCTATGTACTTGCGGTTCTCTTACCGATGGAAAGATGGCCTACTGAAATCCTCTCTCACTTATACCGACTTAAAAGGTGTAGTAAAGGGTAAAGGATTTCTGTTAGCTTAGCAGTAGCATTAGAGTCGAGTCAACCCCCCCCCCCCCCTCTATTTTCCTCATCTGATTTTCTCTTCTTTGCCACAACAAGGCGAGTGGGTGGCAAACATGAAATTAGCACTTTGGGGGTTTTCGGCCATTCAGGTGTTTTACAAAATGAGGAGGGGGGTGAAGGTGGAAGAACAAATCCCATTGGTTCATTTCTATCAGTCCGCTACAAAATATGTATGATTTATTTTTTGAGGTTACAGCCATCTGGTAATGAGTGTGTTTGAAAACACATGATAACTTGACTACTTGTGGGGTTTAGGGACTTTTTAGGCATTTTTAACTTAAACAACTTAAAAGTACAGTATAAAAAGAACAAAGCAGTAATCTAAATCCTAATTACTTTGGGTTGCCCCAACAGTGGCTCTAAGACCCACCCAAGAAGCAACGGACCCCACTTTGGGAACCACTTCTCTGGCTTTTCACTCTAAAAGTTGTGTGCGAGTTGTGTGGTTCTCTTGGTCTTATTTTAAGTGCGTTTATTGATTTGTATGCGTTTACTTTTAACACGCAAGTGTTTCTCACTCTAAAAAAAGGGTTTAGACATGTCATGTTCAACTGCTTTGAACATGACATCATACTTTTACAGAACTGAGGGGAGCTTTAGACCACAGGCGTCAAATGCAGCTCACAGGACCATTTCCACTGGCCCCTGAAATGATTTTCAATTTCAATGACTATTTACTATACACTTGCAGTATTGATGGTAAGGTTAATATGAGCTACCTCATTGCAAAGCTAAATTTATCAAGTAAAAAAACATATGAATCCTTGGCCAATCCTTTTATTTTGACCCAGGTTCAGTCCAAACACACAGTAACTTAACTAGTTTTGTTCAGAAAAAAATCGACCAGAAAATAATCTTCAAACTCCTGTTAAATTTAAGTTATCCTTCGGTCAAAATACCTTCAAAATGTAAGAAAATGTGTTTACAAATATCCACAGATGCAAAGATCAAATTCAGCCCCCAGTGAGCTATTATTTTTTTAAATCCGGCTCTGACTAAATTTAGCTCTAGAGGTGGAGTTGTATGTTTGTGCCAGAAGTTCTTGATATTAGAGTGGATGGATCTAAAAATAACTCCGACAGAACATTATTGCCACATGGTCAAAGACTCAGAACGGGCTTGTTCACACTAAAGGGCACCAAAGTGTGACAAAAGGCCAAAAACTAGATTTGAATAATCAGAAGATATTTTATGTTTTTCATGTTTCCAAGCACCTTCTCTGTCCTTTAGAAGTTGCTAGAACATAACTTTTTTATACATTAGACAAGTTTCCTATAGCGGCCCTGTTTATTTTATGTAACGAACGTGATGATTTGACGGAATGAGCTGCGGAAGTGTGTTACGTATTTTTAGATGTTCACATTTGATAAGAGATTTTGTTTTTTTTACATAGAGTAGAAACAAAGTGATAATTTCATATAGTCAACCAATTAAATGTGAAACCAGACCAGATTTTTTGCCCCTCAAGTTTAATTGTCTTTTTTAACGATTCCTTTTTATATCAAGTGATTTACTTTGTGTTAACCATGTAAATCTTGTGGGATTTCATCTGCCGCTTTTTTAGACTGAGGATTTTATTTTCTATGTAACTGGCGTCACAGAAGAATGGTCAAATCGGAGTCGAGGCTGATTTTGTCGTTTAAAATGTCGCCAAACTATATTTGTCAATCTTTCCTTTTGAACTTATCCACACTATCTCTTCAATGTGTCTGTGTTTAAAATCTTTTTTTCCAATCTATGATAGCAATTTTAGTTTTTGAGTTATAACCTTTTAAAGTCCAGATACTTTGATTGACACTTTACTGTGAACGGTTAATGTATTATATGACGTGTTTTAAACCATTTCAGATCAATATTCTTGTCAGTGATGATCTGGGACATTTAAGGACAGTGATTATCATAAATGGATATTGGTGATCGCAAGGTTTGTTATTATTACTTTCAGACCGTTCAATTCCCTGATCTGTTATTGAATCGACAACATTGTACAGTTGTCATTCAACAACATTGGTCATCTGCCACTTATGAACCAATGGCTCTATGTGTTCTTTATTGTTGCATTTCTTGTGTTTGAAATGTTTGATCCTCTGATCTGTGTTGGCAAATCCTACAGTTTTGTAAAGATCTCCAAGATAAATACTGTTGTGATTTAGGGCTTTACAAGAATAAATTGAATTGAATTGAATTAAAGTCCTCTGAGACAACTGCTGTGATTTAGGGCAAAAATAAATAGAATTGACCCTCAACAACTGTGCATGCGTCCATACTCACTTTCTCCCTCTATTTTATCCGCGACTCTGGTCCAGACTATAGTCCTGGTTTCGAGTTTGACCTGGAAGTTCTTCCTCTCTGGACGCTGGGACTTCTTGGAGTAGAAGAGGTTGAGCACGGTGCCCATCTCCAGGTCTCGGTACAGGTTGTTTATCTCGGTGGCGTTGTCCATCCACGGGACGGGCCCATTGGAAAAGGAGCTCCCCGCCATGTTCACTTCCTCCGTTTGTTCTGGACTTCCTCGTTAGAACAATCTGCTTTGGCCAGGCCTGCACAGGGAAACCTACAACAGGAGCAGAGGGGAAGCCTGTGAAACTCTGGGACCACACGTGTACAATAGTAATGTACGCATTGTTAGTGGGTACAAGGCAATTATTCGTGGCCGGATTATTTGTATAGCACAGTTCATTTACAAGACAAAGCTAACAAAACAAGAAACTATCACATAAGGCATTAAACTCATAAATCACAGTTTTAAAAAAAAGATTAAGTCCTTTATTCGTCCCACAGTGAGCAAATTTTAGTGTTGCATCACCAAATACAGAACTGTAGGAACACACAAGATAATTGAACAATAACTAAACTATACTATACTAAAATAAAATAAAATCTCTAGTTTTAGAATAATAAAAGATGCAAAAATTAAGTCTACAATCTCTTACTTTAGCTAAATAAAATCCCACAGTTGTATGCACAGCTGAACAGAAGTGTTTTCAATCTGGATTTGGACATTGGCAATATAGAAGCCTCAAAAGTCTCATATTTTCAAGAACATTTTCCCAGATCTGTGCTCCTCAGGGTGTCAGATTATTTCAACAATATATTAAAACAACTAGTAAAGGAGACATCTCGGTCAGGTATTTTAGCGTATGACTGGTGCCCATAACATGCACAACATGCAAGTATATGTACAACAACAATATAAAACACTAAACCAACCCACTCAAGCTGGACCGTTAACACAAAATAGAAAGTTACATGGCTGCAATTAGTAACTAGTAAAGACTACAATTATTTGCAGACAAAATTAACTAAATAACGCACTTGTAAATGTCTTTTGATTTTAATACATGTTTTGAAATAATTCAATGGAACAAGTGCGGTGTTCATTTGCAAAAAAAGATTTGTTCAAGAAGGAGTGAAACTTGATTGGTATGGCACTAAAAAAGATCTAAAAAAAAAAAACTGGTACAAATTAAGTGCAAATCAGGTTTTTAATGGCACTTTATCTATTCAATTAAACTACTACTACTATGTTTTCTTGTTGTCTTGTAGAAGCATTATTTTCTCATTTTAAATATCATCTTTTCAATAATTAACGCAACAGCACGTGTTGTAAATCTTGAGTCTGAACTACTGTATGTGAGTTTATGTAAGTTTTGCAGTGAAGAATGAAGTCATAGTTTCATTTGTCACCTTTTCAAATGGAACTCTTGACATTTTTATTTTTGATGTCAAGCAAAATGACAGGAAATATTGCAAATAGATATTGGCCAACATTTACCTACCTACCTATGTACTTACAAAATATTAAGTTAGAGAAAAGATTTTGTTTGTGCCAGTGTTTTTATACCTGAATTAATAAAGAAATGAGCTACTATGTATATGATCAGCTATTTAGTTAGGCAGACAGAGAAAGACAACAAGGCTAAATGTATTTTAATATACATTACATTTATGTATGTTAATTTTTTTTTTTTTTTTTGCAGTATCGCTGTACATTCACATCATTGTTTTAATAAATGTATTGGTAATTTCATTTTATATGTAAAATTGCAAATAGTATATCAGTAAATATCATAAAGCATATTTCATTTTTGAGATCAATAAAGTTTACCTTATATTTGTGCACAAAAAAAGGGCATTTTTGACAATTGTATAATGTAAATGACTCAGCATATTTGTCAATTCTAAATCCTTTGGGGAGCTACTTGGAAAGTGATGGCGAGCTGCTGGTTGCTCCCCAGCTCAAGGTTGCAGACCCATAGTGTAAAGTACAATTTCCGATTTTAGATAGTATCATTGTAAACATACTTCAGCCATTATCAGTGAAATCTCTTTGACCAAAATCAAATGAAACAGAAACCAGAAATATGAGATTGTATCTAAAACTGACTCAGATATAATTGAGGTGAAGTATCAGAGGAATCACAGCACTGTTTGAGCCATTCATTCTGTTTTTGAGCATTTCAAGCTGGGGTACCTATCTTTTCTTTTGTTTCATATTACATGTTTGTCCCAATAAAGTTACTGTTTTATGTTACTCAATATAATACTGTGAAGAAATCAGACCAAAGCATGTCATTAGAAAACATTATATTATTTCTCCTATGTGAGATAAATAAAGCACATCTTATCTTATTTTCATACTTGTAAGAATACCTAGCTTGGCCTTAGCCATCTGTACACTCCGCTCAATCATCATTTCACCATATGTAATTTGTACTATGGTGTGGTACGACCAGGCTAAAGAATATCCAGTGAGTCACTATTTGACGTTTTGGGATGTGATATGATTGAATGAGCAAAAGCAGACTCCTTTTCATTTCAAAAAGCTGATCCAAAGACGCGATAGAAGACAAAAAAACTTGCAATAATTATAACTAACTAACCAACTAAATTGATAAAACCAAAACTTGTTTATAAAGAGCTAGAAATTTGCTTAGTGGATTTTAAAATTGTTAATATTAAAAAATGTGTGTGCCTAATAATGCTTGATTGAAAGAGGTTTAGGCTGAAGTCAAGACAACTGTGACAATACGTCCAAAGATGACCATTTTTATAGACCCTTGTAGCCTTTTATAGATCCTTGTAGCACAAAACCTCACAACAACAATCAAAATGATTTTATTCATGATCAAATTCAAGATGGCAATTATGCAGTTAATGAAATACCAACTATGATAAACATGTAGCACAATTTTTGATAGAACTTCATACTTTAACGATTCTGGAAACGAAAACTCAAAAGATATCAATCATTCGCAAGGATTTGTAAGTTATAGAAAAGAAAAGTCATAGAAAAGACTGTGTGCCTGGTGTTTTTATATCTGAATACTAATAAACTAAATTAATGAGTTGTGAGACAAAGCTTCTCCATCCAGAAAACATGTTTTTGTTATAATGTAAACCAGGGGCTACAACTGTATCAGAACAAAATGATCAGCTATTCCTTTAGGTAGGGGAGACAAAGCCGACAAAACTAAATGTATTTTATTGAGCCCTGTCTGACTTCAATTTTGTTGGGCTTATTTTGCTGTCTCACCTTACATGCATCATCTATTATAACGCATTAATGCAAAAAAAGGCTAAAAAAATGTTTTATAATTACTCAGCATAATTGTCAATTTGTTACTACTTTGACAAATCTTTGAAAAGAGTAAAAACCCATCAATCATTCGTAATAGTCACTCCAGTCTACAGCAGTCTACACAGTACATCCACATCCACATCTGGTAGCCTCTGTTTACCCAATGAAAACAGAAGCGCACTTTTCTTCAGGAACAGACTTCACATTATTGCAGACAGAACAACTGGTATAGACTGGGACGGACTAGTAACAAAAACCCATGTGTATTCAGGCTTTTTTTCTCCCAGCGTGGACTGGAAAAAGGCCCTGGTTTAGCTCACCAGGGCCAGATGACTCCCAACATCCACAATAACAACGCAAATAACCTGGATTTTGTTCTGATATTTATTATGTATTTACGTCTGGGTTGTGGCAAATGGTTAGTAATATAAAAACAGCTGTAAATAACGCGGATTAGTGTACGTACCGCTGCAATCTCGGCCCGAGCAAACATCTCTTCTCTCGCCCAAATCCTGCTCCGCTCCCCCCGCAGCTGACTAACTCTATCCACTTCCTCCAAAACCCGCCTGGAGAGAGTTGCCAACACCGGGGTTAGCAATTAGCATGTAGCGGGAAAGGCGTCGCAATTCCCGCGGCAGAGTTCCCCGTGTGCTGGCCTGTCCTCCGCGGGTCCATAGAGAGAAGAAGCCGGGGGAGAGAGAGGTGAGGTTATGCCGAGTTTGTGCGCTCCTCTGTCGGCCACACGCAACCAGAGCAGAGGCCCTTCCCCCAGTGAGGAGCGTCAAGGGAAGGTGGCTGTGCAAGCGACTTCCGGGGGGTTTCACGGTAAAGGAAAAGTGGCTTAATTTACAGGAAAAAAACACCACGTTCAAGGAAAAAGTGAAAAGAGTTTGCCAAGAGAAACGTAAAAAAAGAACAAGTTTGTGTATGTACTTGTTGCTGTAAGTACCTATTTTTTGCACCAGAATATACTAGTGTACATATTTGCTTCTTTAATATGCTGAAGTTAAGAGATTTTTATTAATAACTTATTTTATTCTAAAGTTATACTTATTTCGTGCTTCTTCATTATGCTAAAGTTGGACATTTTAGACTTGCTGCCTTATTATGCTAAAGCCTTATAAATTCTGTACTTGCTTTGTTATTATATGCTATAGTAAGAGTTTTTATTATATGTTAGTATAAAGTTATTATTCACTTATCTTGTGCTGTACATTCTGAGATTGACGGAGTGAGGGTGGTCCTCTCTTTTTCACTTTTCTCTCTGAAAAAGAAAAACTGATCTAAAGCTGTGACAAATGCAAAAAGTGAAAACTAAAGTTAGAACCATATGTATTTTGTGTCTCGGTTGTAATTGTAACGTCTTTGTTCGATCTCAGTCAGTTTTATCGTGGTTAAATAAAGATAAAACAATAATTATAATAATTCGAGATTTGAACATTTGTTTCTTTCAAAGTTTGGTAAAGTGTATTTTTATTGAATATTTTTAATATATATCTTTGTGCATTATACTGGCAGAGAATAGGACAAGAAATGAAATATTGTGGTTAGTCACCTTGAGGCGTGACTAACCACAATATGTTAATTAATACTCCGCATGGCTAAACATTTCAAACTTGTTTTCATGTTGTGTCATGAAATAACTATTCCTTTTTAAAATTTAAGGAGTAGAAAGTCCAGATATTTTGGGTTAAAAGTTCTGATACCAAAAACTAGTGCAGTACTTGAGAGAAAATACTTGCCACCTCTGACCCTAACCTTATCCAAATGAACAGTTCCTATACCCATTAATTCCCAGATTGTGACTCTTAATCACACACACACACACAAATCAGCAATATCAGAGTATCATCGGTAATGTAAAATTCAGTAGTTGATTCTGACGATGAAATAATATGCATAAGTGTATAATAAAACATGTGTGCGTGTGTTTTTATGGTTTTTATGTACCACAAAACTGACCTTTTATTTTGAAAACTACATTCCACAAAGTCTTTCACTGCTTCCCTCAACTTGACATATCTCCCAGCTCCTTGTGATTACAGAGTTTTATGACCATGGATCCAATATCATATATTTATGGCCTATACATCCTGACTTACCTGAATCAGCCTAATTATGGGTTTATCACAAGAATGCAATGTCAGTTACTGTAACTTGCACTGCTCATCTTCTGCATAGTGTATACTTTAGGCAAATAATCTAAGCATCTACAGATTAAGTTTTGTGTCTCTCTATCTGCATTGATAGGTTGTTTTTGAAAATTTGTTATAGTCCTGTGAGTTGAAATAATACAATCTACCACATTGGGATGAATAATGGTTTATTTGATTTATCTTAAACTATTATGCATCATTTTTGAGCATCAAAATGATAATCAGACTATTTTGCTTTGTCATTTCATGTTTTAGAATGTGAAATAATATTGTCAGTTGAAAAAAACATATACATATAATATATAAAATATATAAGCATGTATGAAGGGTAAAAAATACTTTCAACCTGTAACTCCCTATTCTACCACCAGAGGGAAGGGTAGAATTTATTCAGTCTTCTTCCCAAATTGCCCTGCGATTGTAAAGAACATTACATTGGCTGGACATTAGAGTGGATGGATCTAAAAACTACTCCAGGTTTGGTTTTGACTAGGATGTTTAAAAACTCCATATAATAGTCAACATAGTCTAGAGGTTTTTTTTGCAAAGTGCTTGCCAATGTGTGTGTAGCTCAAAAAGCAACCAAACAAATGCACAAATTGATTTTTTATTATCAATATTATATATTTTAAAGCTACAAAGCTACAATAAGCATTCAATCATTCAGTAGATTAAATCAATCCAACACCAACAATAACAGCTACGTTTTGACCACACTCAAATCTGAACATTAGGACACTTTTGCTGAAGTACAAAAAGTAGCACAGTTAAATGCATGGAGTTCTGTGATTTTTGGCATAGACCACAACGATTACAAAAGTCAGTCTGAAGCAACAAAGCTGATTTAAGTAAGCACAAGGAATGTATACGATGCACCCAAACCATCAGGCTTAACATGGTGACCACAAATGGTGACAAAGACAATGTCTGCTCTGGGGTCAATGTGAAAGCACCAAAGAAGCAAATCCATATTAATAACCTAGTTTATGTTTGGAGGAGGCCAAATAAAGACTTTTTGAAACTCATTCAGTGCCACCTTTGGCTGCACCAAGTTCTTCTTATCGTTTTGTGAGATTTCATAACACTTTTAAGCAACTTTTGTTAAAGTTAAACTCATCATTCTATCAATGTGCAGAAGCCAGTACTTTTCCCTTGTTTTGTCTATCTGAAGGCCAAGCTACATGGCACCGTGGCAGCTGCTGATTGGAGGTCTCCATGCCTCCGCTCTGTATAATACACTTGCATTCTGTTGTATCTGTGTTCGTGTGCTTTGTTCGTGCTGTCTCTACCATCGACAATAAAACGTGTCTTCTGTCTGAATTAAAGACGCGAACCCAGACATGTCATCTTCTTCCGTTTCATATCAATACATTATATATATATATTTTTGGATCTAAAAAGCCAATGAAATTCCAAATCTGTTCCAGGGAATGGAGAGTGAATTTTGTTTTCTGCCATGACTCTACAAACCATCTATGTATTGTATGGACAGTAAAAGAAATACATATGTTTTTGGACTTGCCTGTAATCATTTTAAATAAAATGTGCAAATGGCAGAATACATTCATGACTTGAAATGGATTTTGAAGGAACGAAATTTAATATCACAGGCTAAAAATTGTTAAAGCTTGAGGTGTTGAATTTCCCTTTATCAAATTGAATATACGGTCTAGCCTGTACATACAGCAGTCATTAGCTCATATTAGAGAAAGATGCTACATTTTTGTTGCGTCTTTAGCGATATGATGGGACTGAAAGCGGAAGAAGAACTTTACTTTAGTCCCGGCCGGTCCTACCTAATAAGGGGTCCCCAAGATCAACACATTATGACATGTGGTCATAATGTTATGCCTGATAGGTGCAGTAAGGAGAGACTAAAGCTCACAATACCAACAGCTTGGAAACTAAAATGCATTCATCCCTGAAATGAAAAAAACACTAAAAAAGTTAAACAAGAGCATTACTCAGTGCTTATATACCAGATGCACACATTTCCTTGTCTGTCCATTTTGCCTTTTCATACTTTCGCAAAAAAACGTACAATAAATATTTGTGTGCCCTTTCCTTCCTATCACAAGGCGCTCATAATATCTCCACATACTTACTAGTTAATAATCCTATGAGAATATAGAATTTTGTCGGTAAATCTGATGGCTTACTAATCCAAGTCATCTCAAGCAAAACAAAAGAGTTCGTAATTAGGGAAGAGACATCAGCTACATACAGACGAAGTATTGTATTGTATTGTAATCATTCTGCCATTTTAAAAGCTCTAGTTTGATCACATGATTGATGATTTTTTGAAAATTCGCATAAACACTGTTATATAAGTCATCATTGGTCATAAAGGCGCATGTCTACTGTACAATAGCCACATCCGCAGGTCAATTCCAATCAATATACACATTCATATAGTGATCAAATATTACAGTTTCCAGTCTCATTTAATTAACAAAATATTATGCATAATTAGTAGAAGATGGCGAGAATGCGGCAACACTCTCATTAAGTATCAGAAGTGAGAAATTACATCCTGCTATATTTACATGTAAATTCAATAGGGCGTGGTCTAATTAAAGGCACACAATTGTAAAGAATGCCTTTTGACTGGAGAAATTGACAAAATGTATAATACTTTTGTTTAAAAAGGCAGAAAACCACTCTGTCCTTGAGAGTACCAAGAGTGTGATAGGAGCATGTACATGAAAGGGGCAAGGCGATGCGTTTGTGCTGATTTGTGGAAGAATGTTCTAATGTCAGCGCGGATGAGGCTAAAATCAACTCCATGTCTTTTTTAAGGTTATACATGGTTTTACAAAAGCTAAAAAGACGACTTACTTTGTGATTTCATGTTTTAGAAGAGTGAAAGTGAAATAATAGAAGGTGAAGCAAGTATCATGGTTAAAAAAGTTGCCTATAACTCCCTATGCTACCACAAGAGGGGGGCAAATTTATTTTGTTTTTTTCAATTAGAAAATTACCGGCTGCAAACACAGACACGCAATTCGGGCGTTCTGCTCTCCCAAAATTTCATCCACTGAGCGGCGCTGTGATCAAAAAATGACACCGTTTGTTGCCCAGTTCACTTCCGGTTGATTTCATACAATGGCGAATATGGCTCACAAAAACAACAAACGATTGACAGTGCCTGAATTGCGTGAAAGGTTGAAGCGAAAGGGTATTTGCAGTGTGGGAAAACGAAAGGAGGAATTGTTGTTGCTAGTTCAACGAGCGGATGGTGTTTATGAAGATTTAGAAGAAGATGACAGCGAGCAGAGTGAACAAAAACGGCTGTGTGTGCGAGTGACAGATGGTAACAATGAGAATGAAGTTCAGCTAAGAGGGAAGAATGTGAATTGGACGGATGATTTGCGCGATATGCCACTAGTTAGAGACGGGAATGTATTTGCATACAGAAAATGACGAAAACACTCAACCATTTAGAGAAAATGCGCCGGGCAGAGAGAACCGGAAGTTGCGAAGGCAAGTGTTACCCATAATGCAACGCAAAATTCAGTCGCTCCCCCGCCCATCGGATGGAATTTTGGGAGAGCAGAACGCCCGAATTGTAAAGCGTGTAATTTCACCTGAGAAATTGCCATAACTAATTTATGTAGAAAACTGCTCTGAGTGTGATGTCGTAGTGTAACAATAATACCACACTATTACAGAACTGAGACAGGAGCTTTTAGACAGAAGGGACGGAGTTACATGTTTAGCGTGGGGTGGAGCTAAAATCAACACCAGTTCTGTGGCTAACGAGCGAACAAGCAAAAAAAAGCCAATTTTGCATAATATGTTATTTGAGTACTGCAATAACCGCATATAGTAGGCATATTAGCAAAATATATCTGAATCAAAATAATCAAATAATAAATAAGAATGTTTTATAATAATATATTACTATGTTATTTCATGATAAAAATGTGAAATAAATACATTCAAACTAATAAATATATATAAAGAATATGAAATGCCTATATTATTTTTGATTTTGTGTGTAATCAGCTTATATGCATTTCACAATTTCGCCCAAACCCAAGACACATCTGAAACTATTGCCTCTATGGACATGCGCCATTTTGTAATTCACACAAAAATCATTTGACATGAACAGAAAACCATCTTTACAATCAAAGGCATGAAGAAAGAAAGCGTTTGTTTGTGTGTTTTAAAACTCGAAATCCTTTTCCGCCATATCGATCGCCCAGGCAAACTTCTCTCTCTGAGTTTTGTTGTAGATCTTCTCGATCGGGATGCCGTACTTTTTGGACCTAAAAAGTAAACACATGAATACAATCATCTCAAAGCGGGAGTGGTTTTGCGTCTTAAAAATAACAACAAAAAGGTAAACAAGGTAGACATTATTAAGGCTCCTATAATAAATAACAAAAATAAATTAAGTAGTTGTTTATGTGTTTTTTAAATGTGGAATATTAATTTTTTCATTATATTCTACTTTTTTGGGGTTGGGTAAATGCTGGGGACCTAACTTTGAAACCGCAATGGAAGGCAATATTTTAGGCAAGGGTTTATTTTTTTATTTTATTAGTTAAATGTGCCAGTATTAGGATGAATGAATGTTTTTTTATGTTTTAAATGGACCTTTTATGTGTCTGAATTAAAGATTTGAAAACTAAAATATATACATACACAGTTCGTTTTGCAGTCCCTAGGCAAGGTGTAATATTCCAGCAAATACTTTTTTGTCGTCAATTAACACCAAATATATGTAATTACAGGTCCTTATTTGGCTATACTATCAGGATTACGAAACGCCTCAAACAAACTCCAACAATTAGTAAAAGTGATATTGTCGCCGCAAACAGCTATATGTCATTTCCATATGTGCTGGATATGGCTTTAGATAAACAAGCGGTGGATTTAGGGCAGATCCTGTCCCTCACACTGATCTGCTCTTGGACGTCCCACACGGAGGAAAGAAGCTCAAAAACAAACCCCATTGTTCCCTGCTCACACACTTTTCTTCCTCTGATTTCCCATCCAAAGGCTTTTCACTGCCGCTTTTCCTACAATGCAGCAGTGCTTCCTGTCCTTTGTCATTGAAGTAGATATACACAATTCACACCCAGCACCCTCACAAACACAACTGAAAGAAAAGAGTTAGTTGAGCAGTTTTTGATAACGGGTGATTTTTGAGAGAGTTTTTTGTGCACAAGCAAATAACAGATTTTGTGAATATTGAGTGTATATACAAAGCGCTAGTGAAAACTGAATTCTCAAACTACTCCAATTTGATTCAATTGATTTGATTCAAACCAGAGCGTGCCTATTGAGATGTGAAAAAAACAGTCTTATTCAGAGGTGCAGGTGCGCTGAAATTCTAATGCGGTTGAGCTGCATGTAATCGGATTGTAGTCAGACCTCGGGCAGTGATGCATTTATGAGCAGAGGGAATAACCAGTCTTGTAATAAAAATATATGTATTTTTATGATAAACAGTAAATAACTTTTGGCGAGTGTTTGCTTAAAATATGACAACATTCAAAAATCCAAATTTTATGAGACCATTGTCAATATTGTTTGATTGGCGCCTTCTTTTGTTACTAATAAAAAATACATTCTGGGAAATAGACTTCCAGGTTACAAGTGTGAGATCACTAACCGGTTTTTCAACATTACGGTAGCAATTTGAATAATAATTTACACTTACAAAGTTTTTGTAATAGGGTAAAGTTACTAAAAGTGTCAATGTGTGGATTTTTTGTTATTTTGTACTTTGTTTTTATTTTGTAATCAATTCTCTGTGCTTTGGTTTTAGTTTCACTTTCTTTCTTGTTCCCCCTGTCTTGATTGTCTGCTTCACCCTGATGTGTTTCACCTGTGTCTCTCTCTGTGTGTACTGTGCTCCTGTCCTCTTGTTGCTGGTCCATTGTATTGTCTCTGTTTTTGTTCCTGGTTCCTGTGTCTAGTTTGGATCTTGGCATTTTTTACCCTGGAGTTTCAATTATTATCCATCCATCAATCTTCTTCCCCTTAATCCATTTCTGGGTCGGGGAGTGGCAGTCAGAGCTACTCCCAGAACACATAGCACCAGCCCCTCACTGATCCTCCTGCAGGTGGTGAGTCCACAGGAGCCTTGATCATTCAGCGGGAGCTTCAGGCAAAGTGGGGCTAAGTGTCTTGCCCAAGGACACAACGACAGCAGTCATCAGTGGGAGTCGTGAAGTAGGTCTTTTTGTGGGCTTGAACCCACAATCTTCAGGCCCAAAGGCCAATGCTCTACCAACTGAGCCACTGCCGTCATTTATTATCATTATTATTAAATCATTATTTTGCAACCCTGCATTTTTGGGTCCTCCTTTATCTCCTCCCATGACAAGAAGCATTTGAAAGCCTCCTCAGGTTAGGCACACATAGAGAGTGCCAGAAGTCCTTAGACCAGTTTGATGAGCCCGTAGAATTGAGTGCATTCATATGCTTTGTAAAATAATTAATTGTAAAATAATTCAATGTAAAATCAAAGGCAGAATGGCTATGAAAGACAGAATTCTCTTGTTGGTGCTTGTGCCGTGCCATTAAACAGTAGCAGTGGAAGCCGTGAGCACAGTGTTTACCAGGCCACAGAGATGCGTGGGTCCAGGTAGTTGAGTTTGGACGTTCCCAATGCGATCTGTTTGTTCTCCTCTCGGTCTGTCGCCTGCATCTGGAGCTTCATCAGCTGCTCCTCTATTCTCTGCACGGCTTTTCGCTTCAGCTCCACAGTTCTGATAGTTCACAATAATAAAACATTACACAAAAACAAATACCGAGGAGGAGTTAAAACTGTACATTGACAATCTTACTTTTGGCTCTTCTCATCGTGGGACGCCTTGTAGTCAGATTTGGCAGATTTTAGCTGCTTCCGAGCAGTGGACAGTTGGCTTTGTTTGTCATCAATCTGTCAAAACAAGAGTATTAAAAGCATCATAAATAAGTGGTAGTCTATGGATCGTCAAAACTTGGAGTTATTAAACCACTATAAAGGGAAAATGAATGGGGATTTGACTTCTGGAAGTAGGCGGGACTGCACAGATTGATTGATATTTTTTTTCATTCGTTATGTTCTTATAACACTGGGTAACAAAAAAATATGTTTTGAAAATAGTCCAGGGTTTTCCAGCTGAATTAAACTAATTTTGATGCTCTGAGTCCAAAAATGACCTTGGTTTTGCTCAATCAGGTCAGGATTTTTTGCTACAGATATATTTTTTTTAATCTTGACGTTTTTTCCGTTTTCCTCAAGAAATAAAAGTCAATGTATCCAAAGTCATTCAGTTTTTATTTACTCCATCAAATTTGATAAGCAAAATTCATAATAACGTAGACGTACGTAATCCGTAACACTATGGCTGTATCTCACAAAGTTGACCTGATAGAGAAAAATGCATGTGATATTCGGACTCAGAACACCAAAATTAGTCCGAGAAACCCCTGACCATTTTTTGGCTGTCAACTTGTGTAATAACTGTCTGTCTCAAAGCAAAACTTCCTCACACTTCCTCAAACTTCCCGTTTTCCTTATAGCACGGATAATATTCAGCCTCATGTCAATCTCCGAAAGATTGTGAACAAAATGCATGCTTCATAACAAGAACAGAGGTATTTTGACGTTAACAATTGGTAAAGTAGAAACAATTCAATATACATGTTTTAATCTATCCAAATTCTTCACTTCAGTCTAAGCAGAGACACCAGACTTCCCTCTCCAAACTGACTTCCTCGGCTCATCTGGGGGCATTCCCAGGACAGCTAAAGAAATGGGGCCTATTTTTTTTTTTTTTACATATCCTCTAGATCTGAAGATGTGAGACCGGCCTCTTCTCTGACAATGTTTAAATCCAGGTTAAAAGCAGTTCTGTTTAGCTGTGCATACAATTGAGGGATTTTATATTTTTAATTTTTCTTTTTATGATTTTTATGCCATCTTGTTTTGAGTTGCCTTGTCTATGAATTGTGCTGTACGAATAAACTTGCCTTGCCTTGCATTGCCTATAACTAAAGCAGGGAAATTGCACTCACTATTCAGCATCTGGATTGATAAATGAGGCCAGTCCCTCCAGCGTGTCCTGAGTCTTCCCTGGTAACACACCAGGGAGGCGCCTAGGAGACGTCCGAAACAGATGCAAGAGTCTCGACTGGCTCCCCTTGATGTGGAGGAGCAGCGACTCTACTCCGAGCTCGGCCTGTGTGTCAGTGCTCCTCACTCTTTATCTCTACCCTAAACCTAATTTAAAGTTGGGTAACCTCACTTTATTGTTTCATACTTACCTGTAGTAAATAATGTCTGTCCCAACATACACGCATACTTGTAAGAGAGAGCCCTGTGAGCCACTATTTGACCCTTTGGGCTGAGTGAGGGCGGTCCTCTCTTTTTCACTTTTGAGTCTGAAAAAGCTGATCTAAAGATGTGTCAGAGGCCAAAAAATACATGCATGTGAAAACTAGTCATAGAACCACAATCTGTATTAGAGCCAGGACCTTAATACAATAATTCTATCTGTTGTGGTTTGACAGTTAGGTACCCCAGCTTTAAAGCAGATTTTTGACATTAAGAGATCCTTAATAATATTCAGGAAATGTCAGTGTTGCATCACCAGTTACAGAACAGTAGGAATGAAGAGCGCACAACACAAGATAACTGAACAATAACTCTATACAAAAATAAAATAACATCTCTGACTTATTTTTAAACATATATTTTCATTCAAAAAGTAATGGGACATGCCAGTTGATTTTTTTAATTTTGACTCTAAAGAAAAGGGAGATCTTTCTGACTTCCATGCTACATTGGCTCCCACAGTCTGCCTAAAGCCTGGTATACGAGGGGGTAACGATGGTGGACGGATACATAACTCACTTTGGTCTGGAGGTTTTGCATGGACTTCTCAAAGGTCTTGGGCGGAGCTCTCTGGTGGTTACAGAGAATGGCCACCGCCCGGTTGGCTCTGTTGTAGGACAGGATCTTTGCCGGGTCGCTGTCATCACCTGGAAACAGCACACAGCTTTGTTAGACGGAAACAAACACCCAGGATAACATACTGTACCAGGAAAAACATTATCCACTCATAACACGACTAGAAACTATGTAATTAAATGAAACTGGTTCCTCGCTTTCAAAACAGCTTTCACATTCATCATTATCAGAATTATTTTAACAGGAAATCACAAACTAGGAATTGGCATTGGCTCAAAACGCAAGAAAGTCATAAAAGTAAAACTAATCCCTGTACGACTGAGGGCTTACACAAAAAGTAAAAATAGATATAAGACATGCTTTAAAAAAAAATCTTCATCCATTTTTCATGTATTTTTAAGCCTCTGTCCCATCTTTGGATCAGCTTTTTTCAGACAGAGAAGTATAAACATAATAGCGGATTTTTTAGGGAAATGTTATACCACCATGAGGGATACAAAAAAAAAAAGTTATGCTATTTGCATTTTTAATCGCATGAAAAATTTGACAGAATTTGGTAGTCTAGCAAAATGTATAAAAAATATTGTGTGTGACAGCATTAGAATTGTCTGAGTGATGATCAGAGACTTAGGACCATTTGTCTCCTATGTGTTTGTCATTATTGCATTTCCTGTGTTCGTTTGATTCTTTTGATTTTTTTTTATCTGTTGCTGGAAAATCAACAACTTTGTAAAGTCCACCGAGATGACAGCTGTTGTGTTTTAGCGCTATACAAAAATACACTGAATTTAATTGAGTTTTAAGATCCAGAACACTTCAGATCTACAAAAATTCTATGGTGCACACTCTGTGACTTGCACACGTATTCCAGTGGGGTTTTACTACAAATAGCAAATAAACTGAATCTGAATATGTGAGTATGAGAAACCTTTATTTGTCCCTCAGTGGTGAAATTTCAAGTGTGTTCAATTGAATTCCCGTTTTGTGAAATACTGACAAATGTAAATATTTTAAGGCCTTAGATTAGGTCTCATCAAATGAAATGCCGTTGTGCCTCTGAGCTGTGGACTCACCGCACGTGAGCTGTTTGAGCTGCTGCTGAAGCGTGATGGAGGCGTTGTACGTTCGAAACACTTTCGCCGTGAGGCCGTCCATCAGTTCCTGTAAGTGCTTGTTTAGAATCGAGGTCTAAAAAAAAGTAACAATGTTAAAACAAAATGTAAAAGAAATTGCTGATGTAACTGTTTTAGTTCATTAATTAATGTTTACTGTACTTTTTTAGTTGGTTTTATTCCTGTACTTTTAACCATTTTATTTATGTACTTGTCTGGTGCACACGGGAGACTTTGGCAAATGTATTCCACTGTGGTTTTACTGCAATGGAGATTAAACTGAATTTTAATCTGAAATTTGTGTTTATTAAATACATTACATTTTGGTCGTTGACAAGAATTAACAAAGGAATCCCTAAAAGGTATGAATGAGTAATATGTATTAACTGTACAATCATTCATTTCTGTTTATAAACTTAAAGAAAACTCCACCAGAACATAAACAATATACACAAAAAGAATCTATCTTAGGCTATATCCACACGAAGACAAAACGCTTATAATTTCAGAAACTTTTTCTGTAAACACGGAGTTAGCTCAGTAAATGTGTGCGTCCATATGAATGTAGTCAATACGCCTGAAAACGCTGTGAAACTATGCCAGACCTGTTGGTGGCGCTGTGACGCAATGACGGGATCAAGCCCAAACTTCCGTGGGCATGCGCGGAATTTTGTAAACAGACAACATGGCGAGTGGGCGAGCTGGTACTACATTAGTATGGACGGACGATGAGGTTGAACTGTTGCTTCGGGTCACACTGGATTACAAAACCAACAAGCTACATTGTTGTTGTCATTATTTTCTGTGTGCGGCGCATGCGTGCTTTAACAAGAGGCGGGGCGATGACGCAAGCGTCTCAGATACATTGCGGAGAGGCAGTAACCACGGAGCGGCATATACGGAGTTTTGAAATCTTTCCACTCTGGGACCTAGTTTCAAAAATGTTCGTTTACACCCCCCCAAAACGCCGGCCTCGTATGGACGATACACTGGATTGACAAAGTATTTTTGCGTTTAGGCCTGAGCTTGACTTCGTGTGGACAGGGCCTAAAATTCAAAAAAACGTTTTTTGTTCCTTACATTTAGTCGGTCGAAGAGGTCGTCTTCTGGCTGCTTGTTTTCAAGGAACAATTGTAGGTTTTTAAAGACCTGGAAAAAAATCACATTTATTTTCAAGATTTATACAACAAAGAAATGACAGGAAAAAAACAGCTTTACATTTTTCCAGGAGAGGGGGCTGTACATGAGGGAATCTTGTCACTTAAAACAGTTAACACTTTTTGCTTGGGTTAATCTGCAGCTGTGTTTTCCACCCGTCCTTCTAGGCCATGGGTGTCAAAGTCAAGGCCCACGAGAATTATCTTGGCCCCGGAATGATATTGGATTATTAATTCAATGTTCAGGACATGTTTTCTATAAAAATAGGGCGACAGTAGCTCAGTTGGTAGGGCATTGGCCTTTGGGCCTGAAGGTCGTGGGTTCGAGCCCACCGTAAGACCTACTTCACGACTCCCACTGATGGCTGCTGTCGTTGTGTCCTTGGGCAAGACACTTAACCCCACTTTGCCCAAAGCCCCAACTGAAAGATCTCAGCTCCTGTGGACTCACCACCTGCAGGAGAATCAGTGAGGGGCTGGTGCTAAGTGTACTGGGTGCAGCTCTGACTGCCACCCCCCCCGACCCAGAAATGGATTAAGGGGAAGAAAATGGATGGATGGATGGATTTGTTAAAATAACACTACAAATCATGAGAGTTAATGAATACATATTATTCTACAACGTCTAAATAATAATAAATCCTCATTATTATTCTTTTCTGCATGTAATTATTTTCTTCATATCTTCATTTATTTTCTTTTTTATTTTTGTTCATTTCAGGGCACATTCTTTTCTCATGTCTTGGAGCGGAGCTAAAGAAAGTTTGACCAAAGCAATTGTATCATCAGAGATCGGCTGTGCCCTTCCTGGGGGGCTAAAGAGGCTTTAGCCGGATAGACCTACAGTCTATGGAGTAGATAATATAGCCTGGTCTCACCACACCATCATACAGATCTGTATGATGGTGTGGTGACAGCAAGACCACACATCATACAGATTTCATTTAGTACTTAAGTTTGGATTTCATTTGCTCCATTGAGGTCCATCTACACGTAGGAGGGGTTAACACCTTTTGCAGATTGAAATGAGTGGATCTGAGTTTAACAGGAAGTATGTAATGCCCCAGAGTGAGTGAGACATTTAGCATTTAGCTTAGCTTTTTTTTCTCCTTTGCCACTAACGGAGCCCATGGGGAGTAGAGCCTCAACATCTTTGCCAGCAATGAAATTGGCTAAACTCTTCCTCCAGAAAGGGATTACTTTCCTATCGCAATCGCTCCTATGCCAAACTAGCCTTTATCGGACCCTTTCCCCTTTAAGTATGTGACAGAGAAGTGAATTGAATTAAACTTTCTTACCCTTTTCTCTACTGGGATTTTGTTGTAATAGCGAATTGAATCCTTTCCCAGGAAATCGAACTCCACCACAAATTCCTGTTCGTCCATTTTGGGATAAAGTTTGATGTGTTCGACCCTCAGCGAGCAGCAGCCCACAGTGTCCGCAGTCTCCCCCTCCTCCTTCTCATTTCCAGCTCGGAGCGCCAGCTGTAGATTACATTACATTCAACTTTACTACTGTTACCCTTAGCTCAAACAAATGACCAACTTACTACCAAAATCAGGATTGATTCAACCCAATTCAAGGTCATTTTTTTGTCATTTTTTTTGCAGGGTAGAGAGAGGTGTCATCATTTCAACAGTGGTGTAACTAGACATTATATAGAATAATACTAAAAATAAAATGCTGGAATAATAAAAACAATATTTCTTTTGAAAACCATTATGTTACCAAATAAGTTCAAAATCTTAACCAGATAATAATCACAACACAGATAAATGTACAGTAATGGGCGACTTATAGTATAGTAGTAGAAGTATAATTCCGATCACAAAGGTTAGAGATGGTTTAAACTTTACTTTATCTATGAAGTACAGCGCCACTGCTCTCTGTCTGATCCTCATCTCCTTTGACTTCCAGTCTTCTCTGTACTGGTTCCGAATGCGATCCACACACTTCTTCAGTCGCCGAGCCGTCTCATACTTCTGCCAGTCTTTTTCCCCCTAAACAAAACACACCGGCTTATTTAACTCACTGACTGCCAGGCATTTTCAGATTTGAGAAGTGCATTCTGCCAGCAATTTCAGGTGATTTGACCCAACTTTGAAGTGCCACAGAATATTCATTTTTTAGACGATGTAAACACCAAGGGCACCAAATTAAAGATTAACCTCTCTGCTTTACTCTGAAAAAAACAGTTTGTTTCTACCTCTTACCGTTCTTGCGTTATTCGCCATAGAACAAAGCATACTTTCACCCATAACACCTGGTCTGAGCAAGAAAACAGAGAAAACGAGCTGTATGTAAACAGGAACATATCAAGCAGAAAAGAGACTTTTAGATGCATTTTTGCTGCTTTAGTGACAACTCAAAACATCTTCACACTTGTTCCATTACAAAAATTATAAAAACATGACTCTGAAATAATACTTTTGATGGAAAATTGTTGGCAATTTATTCACAGATAGAAAATTTAACTTTTCTTCTATACCATCAACCAAAACGTCAAACAACAACAACACAAAGATCAATAAAACTATAGATGTATAAAATAGAATGAAGCATGTGAATTTGAGTGTGTGTGTGTGAATGTCAGTGTGCGAGTGAGTGTCTGTGTGAATGAGTGTCTGTGTGTGTGAATGTCAGTGTGCGAGTGAGTGTCTGTGTGCGTGAGTGAGTGAGTGAGTGCGTGTGAGTGTGTCCGATAAATCATGATCAGGTTCTCTGAACGAATCCGAGGCATCAGTAACAGCAGCAGCTGATACGCTGCGAGAGGCGGAGGGTGTGTCTCTGCTCGGGGCTCTTGCTCCACGCAAATATGGCTGCAAAGACGGACCTCCACCGGGGTCTCCGCTCTCTCCCCTCTCGACCCCACTCACTGATCCGCGAGTAAATCCCTGAAGCAGTGTCAGCTGCTTATAACTATTCTTTTTCGCCATCACTCTTGCTATACTATCGCTAAACTAGATCGCTGATCCGTCTCAATACTACGCTATCATCGCTCTGCTACAGCAGCACGCTGTCCAAAGACCCCACACTCCTCCTCCTTCTCTCCACTGACTTATGACCTCTCCTGTGGTGCAATACTGCATCCTACTGGTGGTGATTTATCATTACAGGTACATTTGCACTATATATCAGTGTTGTGGGTCATTCACAAGGTGCGCCAGACATTACTGCAGCCTCCCGTGTAATAACACGGAAAACTCGTCATACTCGTCATGGGCAGTGAGCGTCACTATTCAACATGACGACTTTTGTCGTCATGGGCAGTGAATGAGTTAAATATATCACTCACATCATTAGTATTTTGTGATCCGTGATGGACAAAATGTGAAATAGTGAGATAAACAGAACTGCTTGACTTTTCTGACAAAGAATTAGCCATTGCAGTCATGTCAACCCTCTTAAAGAAAAGTTTGGACACCCCTGCTCTAAAGCCAAAAAATCATTAATTAAACAAATAGCTCAAATCTTCCCATTATTGTAAAGAAAATGTACAAACACTGAATGATTATAATCTATAATTTATGGATCGATAACTGGATATAGTAATTATTGCAATATATATATTGTTGTAGAAATACTTTACCTTGATCCGGGAGCTGGGATTCAACATGATGTACTTGATGGAGCCCTGAATGTTCTCGGTCCATGAAGCCAGCCACGTCACCTTATTGTCGTGACGCACTTCTTTCCACTTTGTCCCTGTAGGAGGTTTGGGAATCTTGGAATCTCTAACAAAACATTAGGAAATAATTGATGCTTAAAAACGTATGAAACTGATGATTTGCTAAATAACAGTAATATATATTATTAAGCTGTTTGGACGTATCAGGCTGTGGCTTTTTAATTCCTGTTTTATTTTGAATTATTTTTTCTACTGTGTATTTTTGAGTTTTTTTGTTAAATCCCCCTCCTCCAAATTCCCTCTTTTCCTCAGTTACTGTATTTTGCATTCAGTTGAGCCTTGGTTTTGGTTTTGGTTCTGGTTTATCAAATTATTCTATTTTTTTCAGTGTTGTATTTTAAATGCGACTTCCTTTTTGTGAAACGTGCCACTTACTTGCTGCAGTTGATGATAATATCCTGAGGTCTGATGCGCCGTTTCAACATTCCCATTTTAGGATGGTCCCCTCGCCCGCGGAAAAGTCCCGGCGGCTCGATGCGAAAGTTCCCAATCCGCTCTTTGTGTTTGTCCATGATGCAGAAACCGTATTCTTGAAGGATCCTCTCGTTTTCCTCTTTGATTTTCTGCATAATGTTGAGAGAAATAGTTGAGCTTAAGTGAAAATGAAAGAAGCCTTTAAAATGTATGTCCCACAGTGGGGAAGTTTTCTTGGATGTGTTTGCCAAAAGTGTGTTTTATTGGCAATTCCGATTCCAAATATTTAATGCTATAAAAAAGCTACATGTGTTGAAATTACACTGTGGTCATTTTAATATGAAGTCATGTGTGTGTACTAAGCCTGCATGTATACAGAGACAAGAGAGGTCTGAGTCTGCATGTATAGAATGGTTTGTGGGGGGAAAAAAATAAAAAATGTATCCATATTCCCTTCCCATAAAATGTGAATGAAAAAAGTCAGAAATGCTGTTAATTACCTGCTTCTCCTCTTTCGTCATCTGCTTTCGTGCCTCAGACTGAGCTTTAAAGTATGAGCTCATCTCACTGAAGCCACATTTGTTTAGGTCAGTTATCTTTGACTTTTCCTCTGGAGTCATTTCCTTTACACAGAAAAACAACAATAGTAAACAACATCTCTGGAATACAGAAGTTGCACCGTTCTTACCTTTCTCCAGTCCTTGAGAAAATTCTTCCTAAAAATGTCTTTAGTGGTGTATTCATGGTCCAACATTTTAGCAAAGAAAGTGGCGACTTCTTCAGCTGGAGCGCTAAGCTTCATGGGTTTACCTGAAAATACATGGATGCAGCAGATTGTTTTGTTTTATTGGCGTACAACAGAAGTCTGGTCATACCATACCCTTGTACTAATTTTGTACTAAGGTCTGGATTTGCTCAGTTGAGCTCCGTTTACAGATGGGAGGGGTTAACTCCTTCTGCAATTTGAAACGATTGAACCTGCGTTTGACTTGACGTATGTAATGTGCCCGAGTGAGGGAGGCACCTATCATTTAGCCTTGCTTTAGCCATCCCCTTTGTACAGCCACAACATCTTTGCAGCAAAGAAATTGGCTGACCTTGCTCCGGCTTCAATTTCTTGATATTTGGAAGCCAGACCAGAACGGATTACTAAGTAAGTAATCTTTATTTATATAGCGCCTTTCAGAGACCAGAGTCACAAAGTGCTTTACAATTCCATCCATCCATCCATTTTCTACCCTTTAATCCATTTCTGGGTCAGGGGGGTGGCAGTCAGAGATGCCACCCAAGTCTCATAGCACCAGCCCCTCACTGACCCTCTGCAGGTGGTGAGTCCACAGGAGGACGGCTGCTCTCTGAGTGTGAGCATAGACTTGATCTTTCAGTGGGAGCTTTGGGCAAAGTGGGGTTAAGTGTCTTGCCCAAGGACACAACAACAGCAGTCATCAGTGGGAGTCGGTGGAGAAGGTGCAGAGGTGGGAATTGATCCCACGACCTTCTGGGCTTAAGGCCAATGCTCTACCAACTGAGCTACTGTCGCCCCTGCTTTACAATTGTTGTGGGCATTTGTCTTTCACTCCACACAGAGATGAGAGCGAGGTCGCCAAACAGGAGGTGCATGCCAGACCTATTATACATGTTTTCAGTGTTCTAGTTCTTGTTTTTTCTTATTGTAAAATATATAAAATCTTTGAAAACATAAGATATAGTGTTCACAATGACTGAAGAAATAATCTACTAATGTGCAAAATTTGACTAAATTTGCTACTGTGGTGCCGTAAGTGTTATTGCCATTTAGAAAGTTAACAGAGAGGGAAGGTGAGGTTGACTGACGGTCGTGAGCAGTGATGCAGTCGCTGTATCGGAAAGTTGTAGTGAAGAAGGAGCTGAGTCAAAAAACACCAGCTCTTGATTCACTGCTTGGATCGTGGCCCAAAGGACAAGAACGCAGATTGCTGCTTTATTCTTGTGTGATTTAAACACTAGTATTGCACCCTGGGACCCATTTCCAGATCATTCTCATCTTGCAGGTACCACAGGATTTTGCCTATTGCACATGTTTATAGAGGGAGGGGAAACCGGAGCCCCTGGAGGAAAACCTACGCAGACACAGGGAGAAACTTCACAAAGAAAGGCCCTGTTTGCTCGGGATTCGAACCCTGAACCTTCTTTCTGCCAATCACTCAGCCACATGTCCTGTGTGTGTGTGTGTGTGTGTGTGTGTGTATACTTATAATAATAATAAATGACTAGATATGATAATAAAAACGATATAATAATATATGTGGTTTGTGGTGGGTCTGTTGGGTGGTCGGGTGGAGGGGACATGGTTATGTGGGATTGTTTTTAACCAATCTGTAAACCATTTTGTGTATTTAAAGAATAAAAAGTATAATATTTGATTGATTAATTGCTCAGACTACTCTCTTGCCTCTATGGCCTGGCAATGGCTAAAGCAAGTGTCTCCAACCGTTTTCACCCAGAGAGCTACATTCCCTAAAGGCAGAGAGCTACTTGTTTTAGCGGCCCTGGGAAATTTGAAATTTGATATTGGCTACAGTCATTATTTATCATCGCATTTTTGTTACTAGGGACAAAGTAAGTGCATTTACAATAATAAACAATGAATAATGCAATCTGAAAGAAGTTTCTCAATCAATTTCTCTCAATTTCTCAATCCGTTGGCGAGCTACCTGAAAGGGGGTGCTACTGAGGCTCCTGAGGTACAGGTTGGAGACCCCTAAGGTATGACAAAGTGTGGATGATTTTAAACTCACCATCATAGAAAAACTTGACTTTGTCTGGCATAGGCTCATAGGGAGGAGCAAACACCGGTCCCTTATGTTCCAGAAAGCGCCACTTTGATCCATCGGTGTATCTCTCCTCTTCCCACCTAATCAACAAACAGAAACAAAACAATATAATGTTGATAATTATTATGAATGAAAAGGGAAAATAGAGAATGGCCGTTTTAGTACAATTATCTTTATTATTATTATTATTATGAGATTGACTTTAGCTCCCTCCGCAGAGTGGCTGGGCGCTCCTTTAGAGATAGGGAGACGAGCACAGCCACACAAGAGGAGCTCGGAGTAGAGCCGCTGCTTCTCCACATGGAGAGGAACAAGTTGACAACAAGCACTGAGAGGAGACCAGGGGAAGACCCAGGACCCAAGGGGACTGTGTGTGTGGATAAGGAAGTCTCTGTGTCTCTGCTAATGCTGCCCGTGACCTGGCAACGGATAAATAAGTATTCCAGTGTATGTCTCCTGTTATTATTAGGCCAACCAATACTAACCCCATGTATGTTAATTGTGAACGTCAAGCATCATAGCCTGAAGCAAGATGGCTGACTGAACCTGAGTGCGTGCTGCAGATCAATGAATTGATCTATAACTGGGCCAGTTACTACTGTTACTTAGTGGACCGTGAAGTTAAGAACCATACATCTCATCCACTCACAACAGTAACTTTGAACCACATCAGCTCCCAAAATGACTGATACGCGCCAGAAGAAAGCTGAGGAGCCCGCGGATCCAACTCTCAAGCATATCCTGGACGCAATTCTACAGACTAAACAAAACATCTATCCACAGATTGACGCACAATTTGCGCCAATTAAATCCAGCATTGATCAATTTCAAGACTCCATGATGTGCAATCAAATGTAAGAACTTGAGCAAAGAGAGAGTGCGAATGAGGATAATATTGAGGATCTGACCAAACGCATGAAGTTGGTTGAAAAAGAAAACTCTTTTACCTCCGGGACAAAATTGACGATGCAGAAACCAGGAGCCGCGCTTGTAATCTTCGGTTCGTCAATATCCCCGAAAAGTCGGAAGGCAGTGATGCAATTGTGTTCATGAACCAGTTAATCCAGCAACTCCTGGGTGAGGACAATTTAGTCACAGCTGTCCCCATTGAGAGGGCACATCGTTCCCCATCTACTGCGTGTGGAAGTGACGCCAAACCACGAACCCTCTTGGTGAAGTTCCTGAATTTCCACAAGATCCGCATCCTCCAGCTTGCAAGAGAGAAGCAAAATCTCCTCTCCAAAGGCTCGAAGATCCATGCTCTCTGCGGATAACTGAAGATGGGAAACCCAGATTCTTCAGCTGTCCCGCTGAAGTTGAGGACTATCGGTGAAGCGTATCCGCATCAGTCAGTGGCGCTGTGAGTATCTATGACATGGGATCTCTTTGAACTATACGTTAAATAACCACCTCACGGCGAAGTACTGATACTGTGAACATATTTGTTTTCTTTGGCAAAGTCAAGTCATTAACGCAAAGTTCTGAAGAGAAGCTGTTTGCCGTAAAGCATGCGCATTCTGCGTCATGACGTCATTACTGTTGTAAAATGATGGCTTTCGCCTTTTAAACAGGGTCCTGCAACTCTATAACATATATGTTGAATACAATTAGCTCATTAGAACAATAAACAACTTAATACAATTCTAAATCGTGATAACAAAAAATGTATAAGAGATTTGCATCAACAATGAAAGTCTCTCTGAACCTGAGCAGATATCTTGTGTACTGAATAATCATTTTCCTAATATTGGATAGTCATGATGTTAGTATTAGATAGCAATATGGCCTACGTGCAGGACTGTACAAGGACTCTGAAGATGACTCCATGTTTTGACTATGATTTGCACTCTCTCTGTGTGACACGTATGTCTTTCGATGTGTGACGTGACAATGACTATATAAACTGTGTACTGCCTTTATTCTGTCTGAGAGAAAAGAAGCAATGGAAACCACTGGAACTTGAGAGAAACGTAAATAAACTTCCAGAGTTTGGCGCACCACGATCCGTCTCTGTCTGGTTCATCCTTGACAATGCCCTACACCCTACAGAGACATGGCATTTCAAAATGATCTTGCCATATCAAGTTCTCAAAGTTATACGCCAGATGAAATGTAATACAAGTGCTGGGCCTGATGGACTGGAAGCAAAATCTTTTAAATATGCAGACAGTGTTCTGGCACATCCCCTGGCTGAGCTCTTTAACATGTCCCTTACAACAAACTCATTGCCACCCATATGGAAGTGTGCCAGAGTTACACCAGTCCACAAAGGGGGTAATCCAACAGATATCAATAATTACATACCAATCTTGATAATATGCACAGTCCAAAAGATATTCGAAAAGATTATATTTAACCAATTGTCCACATATATTGAGGATAATAACATTCTGTCTCAGTGTCAGTCAGGTTTCAGAGCAAATCACTCAACAACACTTTGTGAGATTCAATGTAATTGAATCTCACAAATTACATTTCTGCCTTTGACAACCAGGAGTTAACTGGAGAAATATTCATAGACTTCACTAAAGCATTTGACACAGTTGATCATTACCTTCTTCTGGACAAACTCTATTAAATCGGTACTTCCAGAAATGTTTTACTTTGGTTTAACTCTTATTTACATTGCAGAAAACAATTTGTCACTGTACAAGGCACACCGTCAGAAATGGCCACAGTAAATAGAGGTGTTCCACAGGGCTCGTCTCTTGGGCCACTACTTTTTTCAATCTACATAAATGATTTACCTGAGTGTAAAATCCACTTGTATGCAGACGACAGTGTTTTATACCTCTAACAAAAGTCTGGCTGAGATTCAAGAATCGCTTCAGATGGAAAATAAAACATTCAGCATGCGCTTTTCAAAACACCTGTGTCTGAATCAACAAAAAGTATCCCTCTATTTGTTGAATGGAAGTAAACTCGAAAGAACAAATGCATTTAAATATCTGGGAATGTGGATTGACACAGAATTAATCTTATCTATCTTTACAAAAAAAAGTCTATGCTTATCTTGGGCAGCTGTACAGGTCTAATAACTGCTTTACGTATGATGTAAATAAGAAAATATAAACTGCCAATCATTGACATAATTTACCAAAACACAACGGACACTGTTCTGAAACCTGTGACAGTGATAATGAACTCACTCTGCAGGTTTGTGCTAAATTTCTACACTCATCACTGTCTAATGTATAACTCACTGGAATGGTTGAAACCAAGAGAAACAAGGCAGTATCATTGGTTCACTTTAATTTTTAAATGTATCCATAATAATCTCCCTGATTATTTAAAACAATATTTTCTTCCATTCACATCTCAGCATTCTCTTCGAAACTTACTCCACCCCTATTTCAGAGTTCCATTGGTGAAGAGGGAGGTCTGCAAAAAATGTGTTTTGTTTTAAAGCCCCAGATGACTGGAATAATCTTCCAGTTGAACTTCAAGCAGCAACATCTGTTCATTTATATAGGTCACTATTACATGACTATTTAAATAAACCATGTACTGTATATGATAGTTTCTGACCATAGATAATGCTCTATAACATTGTAAATTGTAAATGAGTTAGCCGCCTTTATACAGCACGCAGAGAGCTTAAATATTCAGATTAAACTCATGTTAATAATGTGTGTGTATGTTTACATTTGTGTATGTATCAGTGGGGTGCAGGTCCCGGCTCAAAAGTGGCCAAAATGACGTGCGCTGACATGCTTGCAATACCACCCCGGGCCGATGGGGGTGGACCCAGAATAAGAATTAGCCAATGCTAACATATAGCATTGGCAGACCTCACGAAAACGTCTTTACAGGATGGACCAAAAGTTGGCTCTTGGCCCAAAGCTCCGTTCCACATGTGTGTCAATGCTGAGGGGGGTGGATTTTTTTGGACCAGTCTTGTTTACTCACTGTGAATTTTTGAAAATGAATAGAGCTCACGCCGGCTGACGCATGCGCAGATGCGTTTTTTCCATAGACTGTATATAAAAGTTTTTTCACAATTTTCTTGTGGGCGGTACCACTTGCGGCCATTTTGGATAGCTCCAGTAGAGCGCTATTTTTGGCCCATTAGGCGGAGATAGTTGTGACTACGTCCGTTAATTTTTACAGTCTATGGTATGTATCTATATATGTTTGTGTATGTGTATATGCATATGTGTATATACGATTGAGATACGTGGCAGTGTGTGTGTGTATGTACTGTATATAGTTAACAATTCATGTTTGAATAATGCTTGTTACATTTCTTGTTTTGTTTTGTATTGCGGATGTAAGCCATCTTATTTGTTATTTTTCTTCTGAGATAAAGGACTCCCTTGAAAAAGAGATAGTTTATCTCAATGGGGCTATCCTTAAATAAATAAATAAGATAAAATAAAGCGGTAGAAAATGGATGGAGTAAAAGATCTCACCATTTCCATTTCTCTTCCTCCTCCTTTTTGTTCTTCTTCCCGTCTTTTGCACTTCTATCTTTTGTCTTCTTGGGTTTTATGTCCTAAATAATAAACACACAGACAGATTGACACAACATTTCTTAAGAAATCACACAAAACTTATTCAAACTACCGACCTCCTCCTCCTCATCTTCTTCCTCATATTCATGTTTCCTCTTCTTTTCCTTTTTGTCATGTTCTGTTTTCACCTTTTTGGGTTTATAATCAAATCTTCAAACAAAGAAATGTCAAAAAACTGTAAAATTGTAATTATATGGAGACATTTGAATAGATTTTTATTAAACTTACTCTTCATCGTCCAGCTCTCGTTTCGATGCCTTGTGTTTGGAGACTGGATGAAAGCCATTGTCCTCCTCTGGCTCGCTTTTAATACCAGGACTTGAATGTCTGTAAACATAAACTGAATTAAAGGTTTTGGCAAATAAATAGTACATATAGTGGAGCTGAGGCAGTACCTGACATATCCATTCTCTTTTTCTTTCTTCGGTTTGTCTGTGTGGGACAATTTCACCTGAGAAAAAAAAAAAACATTGCAGATTGATTTTAAAGCTGCTATGATGGAAAATGGTTTAAAAACTTGTGGATTAAATCTGGTTATGTCAATTTCTTGTAATTTGATTGTTTAAAGGGGCGACAGTAGCTCAGTTGGTAGAGCATTGGCCTTAAGGCCAGAAGGTCGTGGGTTCATTTCCCACCTCTGCACCTTCTCCACCGACTCCCACTGATGACTGCTGTCGTTGTGTCCTTGGGCAAGACACTTAACCCCACTTTGCCCAAAGCCCCCACTGAAAGATCAAGGCTATGCTCACACTCAGAGAGCAGCCGTCCTCCTGTGGACTCACCACCTGCAGAGGGTCAGTGAGGGGCTGGTGCTATGAGACTTGGGTGGCAGCTCTGACTGCCACCCCCCTGACCCAGAAATGGATTAAAGGGTAGAAAATGGATGGATGGATGATTGTTTAAAGCAGTGGTTGCCAGCCTTTTCTGCTCTGTGTACCATCATCCAAGCCCCCCCCAAACAAAGTCCTGTGTGTTTGTTATTATTATTTCCTGTGTTTTAACGGTTTAATTCTCTGATCTTTTGTTGGTGAATTGACAACTTTGTAAAGTTCTCTGAGACGACAGCTGTTGTGATTTAGGGCTATACAAAAATACATTAAATTGAATTGAGTTTTTTGTTTGTATTGTGTAAGTATGTTTTATTAAAGTTGAGTTTTAGATTTTCCTGAACAACATGAGAAAAAGTTTATATTTATGATTGTTAATGTCATCATTGGTTCTTTTACGCCTTCGCTTTTAACACCAACTGTTTAACATTTTCGTTTCTTCTTTTTTAATCTTTTGTATCTGTGAAGCACTTTTCGCAGCTGGTATTGTGCTTTACAAATAAAGATGACATTGACATTGTGACTGACTTCCGTCCACAGTCGTAGTCCTCACCTTGTCTTCTCTCCTCTTCTCTTTGTCCTTGTGTTTGTCGGAGCCATCGCTGTGCTTCAGTTTGTCTTTGTGTTTTTTCTCTGAGTGCTCTTTATGTTCGCTGAAAAAGAGAGAAATATGTCGTGCTTATAAAGATATATTTGCATTCTTTTTAACATTCTGGTTATTGGATTTTCACAATTACAGTATATACAGTTTGGCAATCCAACAGAGAGTCTAGAATACTGAAATGCACAATATCCATATGCAAATTTTATTTGGTTATGGTTAAAGTACACTTTATTTATCATCTGAGGCATTTTGTCCTGGGCATTTGACCCTGGAATACCACCTGTCTCCAGATGTTGCTGCTCGGCTTGGTCAGGACCAGAGGTGAGGATTTTGACTTATTGTACATGTTTTTAGTGGTGGGGGATTTAAAATGTTTCTTGGATCTGTAATTCTGTTAATTTATTAACAGATTATAAAATAGTTTTATTGAGGACCAAAGCCATTTGAAATTAAACTGAAGTATTGTTTAGCTTATTGAAAATGTCAAGTCAACAGCCTCTTTGGAAAACATATTATCCCAAATGTGAAAACACTGTGGGGAAAAAGCTTATAATAAAATAGGTAACAGGTGTATATGTATCTATATAAAAGATCCTATATTCGTCCCACAGTGGGGAGATTTCAGTGTTGCATCACACATTACAGGACAGTAGGAATGAGGAGCACACAGCACAGGATAAGTGAACAAAGACTAAATTGAACAATAAAATAAAATCTGTAACTTTAACATAATAAAAGAACCGAGTGTAAATGATATAAATATTTATGTAATATGAATACAGAGTGATCTCACCTGTTGTGCTTGGAGCGCTCGTGGCCTCTGTCCTTCTTGTGATCCTTGTGTTTGTGCTCTCTGTGCTTGTCTTTATGCTTGTGAGAGTCTACAACACAGAAGATGAGGGAAAATAATAGAACCTTTATTCGTCCCACAGTGGGGAAGTTTCAATGTTAAATCACAAACAGACACACGCACACAACTCGGGATACACCCACATTCTTTTCACTCATCAGTTTAAGCTGGGGTACTTAAACAATAACACAAACAACATACACAGTACAACAGTACATGTTTTTTGTCTCAACAGAAAGTCGTGTAGAAATAAAATGTTGAGAACAAATCAGACCACAACGTCTTCTTGTTATCATACTAAAATAACATGTACATTTTACGACAAAGAAAAAGCCCTTTGAGTCACTTTTTGACACTTTGGGCTGCGACATGATCAAACCATACAGGTCGGATACATGTTGGGGTTTGTAACTTTCAAACCACAAAGAAATGTCACGATGTAATAACATTCATGTAACACATTCATGTTCACATTTGTTTGGCCTCTGTCACATCTTTAGATCAGCTTTTTCTGACTGTAACTTGAAAAAGTATAAGATAAGACAAGATAAGATAAAGATAGTCTTTATTAATCTCACACAGGAGAAATGCACATGTCACATCTGTCATGGATAGAATCACTCAAGATTGTGCAAAATGAAAGAACTGTGCAAACATGTTAAATGCAGGATATATTATGTACAATGAAAGTGGAAATTAAGAAGCATTAGCAATAGTAGTGCAGGTTTTTTTTTCAGTCCTAGTGCAAGTGACTTAAAGTGACTTGGTGTACAGTCTGACAGCGGTGGGGATAAAGGTCCTCTGGTAGCGCTCCTTCTTACACTGAGGGTGTCTCAGTCTTCCACATGTATGTAAATGTGTATATTTGTGTATGTATGTCTCTCTGTGTGTGTATATATGTATGTGTATGTGTGTGTGTGTGTGTGTGTGTGTGTGTGTGTGTGTGTGTGTGTGTGTGTGTGTGTGTGTGTGTGTGTGTGTGTGTATTTGTGATTGATTGTGACCCAGATGTGATTTATAAGATATCATTAATAGTTTGTGCTGGAACTGAAAACATTCACACACAACATTCACACACAAGAAAAAAGAAAAAAATAAATTTGCAAAAGAACAGATCACCCTCACTCTCTCAACCCAAAGCAGCGAATAGTGACTCATAGGGCTCTTCCTTACACATAAGAAAAAGATAACATGTTTTCTAATCAGACATAGGCAGCAGGTTGTAGTCTGATTCATTCACAATATTCTACTTTAATAAAACTAGTTTATAAGAATCTTGAGGAGGAAAAAAATCATGTATAGTTAATGAAGAGAATAAAAAGTTATGAACCCCAGCTTTAAACCATAACTTATTTCAGTTGCATCTGTAAGTGTGTAATAAGATTGTGAGTGCAGAAGAAGGCATTTGGTTGTCTGATTTGGTGTTGCATTCCTGTCTGAACAGCGTTAGAATGACATTGGCATGCATAGTTTAGTCTTCATGCAGCTGCAGTAGAGATAAGGGCATGGAGGGCGATAAACAGCCGGGATCCTGCCTCCATATCGCCGCGCACTCTGGCCTCATCCCTGGCGCTGCTGCTGCTGCTCCATCCATGAAAAGAAAATGGCGTAGAGACTAAGTCCTCAGCCTCCATTCGGCCACTTTCCTCTCCAAAATTCACCATGAGTGCATCCACTGACAAGGACATTCTTACATGCATAATAAACACCGCGTTAAGGGCTTTTGAGACCAGTCTTCAGATCAAATCATCAATATGTTTAAGTGCTACAAAAAGGGGGGTCTTTTTGAACAATAGCCGCTACTGAGAGGAGGAGAAGGGACTTAGTCTCTGGGACGCCATTGCTACCCTTTAAAAACTAACACAAGACACAGCCTCATATTACAAATAACACACAAGTACAGCACATACACGCATGCAGAGAGGACCTACCATTCCCTTTGGATCCACAATTGACCTAGAAATAAAGAGAACAATACGTTTTAATGTTAGATTTTTTAAAAGGCCGGGAATCTTTGTTACTCAACTTTCTATTGACATAAAAGTAGAATGACATATAGCATTGGAACGTACAGCAAAGACATTATGCAGATCGGAAACGTGGGCATTAACATGTATTTAAATGCACCTTCACGGCTGTACAGTAGTATATTTTTATTCTCGTATGGAGCTGGGTGCATGTGTCAAAGCTCTGGTCACAAACTCGCACAAACTCAAAGAGATCCGCGGATAGAAAAAGCATTAGTACCTGCGACTCTCTGTGCTCACGGTCCCCGCTCATGGTGAGGTTTTTACGGCCAAACAGATGAAGTTATCACCGTGGGATGGATGCGATGCTCCAGGAACAAGCTGACAGCACAGCCAGACAGGCAAAGTCCCAATGTCGGTGGACTGCGCATGCGTACCAAAAGCCTACAGCTAGAACATGAGGAGGCAAAGGAATGGCCGGCGAGCCAAAAGCGGACCGATATCAATTTGACTTGGCCCATGTTAGAGACATTTTTTGTAGACAAGATCAGATTAGATTAGATATGATGAGAAACAATGATCATGTAAATGAAATTCCAATCATTCTGCTGACATCTGTACACAGCATTCACCTGTAGTAAAGGGCGGCTCTCTGCTCCTGGTGCAGACAGCTCATTGGATTCCTTGGCTGGTTACATCTGCACCCTGCCAAGTCTCTCTTTATGGTTTTATTGTTATACTGGTGTGTGTTTGTGTGTGTGTGTGTGTGTGTGTGTGTGTGTGTGTGTGTGTGTGTGAGAGAGCGTGTGTGCGTCTGCCAGTGAGTGCGTTCTTAACAATATTTGTGGTTTGGGGTGGGGCTGTTGGGGGGTGGGGGAATGGGTTATGGGCATCCGGGATTGTTTTTAACCAAACTGTAAAGCACTTTGTGTTGCATCTTCTGTATGAAAAGCGCTTTATAAATAAAATGTGATTGATTGAGTAATGTTGTCATGGGGTATAACTGAACTGGTCTCCCCCAGTTTAGGATTAGGATCAGTCGGGAAGACTCCTCATTCATCCGGCGCACAGCCTCAGTCCTTTTACAGACTGACTCCTACATGTACAGCCTGTCTGTGAGCGGATCCCTCTCTCAATGTGGGCTCTTTTTACCCTCTGTTTTTTTTTCTTATCATTTAAGGACAGTGATGATTCAGGACATCTATGGGCATTGGTCATGTTGCTCCCTATGAACCAATGGGTTCTATGTGTTTGTTAGCATTGTTAATCATGTGTTCTGGTTGAATCTCTGATCTGTTGTTGAGGAATTGACAACTTTGTAAAGTCCCCCAGAACGACTGCTGTTGTTAGTTCACATGACAGCATGATGTAAAAATACCAGCAGCTTATGTGAGTTTATGGAGTGAATAACTGATGCATTGGACTGATAAAGGTCGTTATCTTAACTAAGATAACAACCTTTATCAGTCCGTCAGTGGGGAAATATTGTAGTTGTTGCGCACATTACATCTGAATTAAATGAGAAATAAGAAATATTGTGTCTGGCACTTATGATTCTTGATCAAACAAGTTTCCAGGATTAGTGTTGATTACTCAACTCTAGTCTATCCATGGACTCGCACCAAAGTACATCTGAGACATGTTAGCACCATATGAACCAACTCAAAATCTGAAGTGCAGAGCCTCCTGCTGGTGCCGTGTCAGAACTAAACACTGGGAGCAGTTTTAGATTTACGCTGCTAAAATATGAATACGTGAGACATAGTCAGACTTCTTATTTGACAATGTTCAAATCCACAGTCCTGTTTAGCTGTGTATACAACTGAGGGATTTTACTTTTGCTCTTTTCAATATACTAATAATGATTATTTATGATTTTATTGCCTTGGTGAATGTCTATCTTGTTTTGTTCAGCACTTTGAGTTGCCTTGTGTATCAATTTTGCTATACAAATAAACTTTCCTTGCCAAGGCTTTTGACAACCCTACTCCAAGGCATACTGCTTTGAGACTTGATGTGTACAAGAAAATGCAACAGTGTTTGAGATTCACGGGACAAAAGCAGTAGAAAATTTAATTCAGTTTTACAACATAATTATACAATCATATGACATTATCAATCTTAAAATGACAAATCCAGCATTTCATATAAAAGGCTCACTCATACAACACTATGTGCACACATTCTAACTACAGTCTGACATGATAGCAGGGACAAAACAATAGCATGATTATTTTAAAACAAACTGTACAAGGTATACTCTTTAGATTAAAAGTCTATCATCACATAATTCATTAGAAACGGGTTAACAAGCAAAAAACACAAACATTTACAGTACAGTTCACAGGGTTTCAAACTTCAGCCTATTTAGACTTCCTTCTTTTGGCCTGGGTCGGACTCGCTCCAGTCTCTGCAACACATAATGATAAACTTAGTGCGTTGTCAAAAAACAGTTAGTTTTAGAGAGACGTTAAGATAGAAATACTTTTATAAACTGAAAGATATCTTAGTCTTGTTTTCAGATGTTAGAATTTTTTATGCCTGTAGTGTGTATGCAAGTTTACTCCTATGTCTGAGTGATGGTGGTCCAAGTTGATAAAATGAGGGCTTATTAGAGGCCAAAACATGCTAAGGCTACCCTTTTGTACCAAGGTATCAATCATTGTGGGTGATTTTCTTGAGAAATGTTGATTGACATTCATTCGGTCATTAGACACGGGCAAAACCGTTAAATTGGACCAGATATGCTGCTTTTAGTGTTATCGCAGACAATACTAAATAATAAACACTTTGAAATTCAAGTTGGTCTTCACGCTCACCATTAGACACACATCCATATTTCTCCTATCAGAGTGCTCTATACATGATCTTAAAGGCCACATTTGGCTCGTGAGAATCAAAGTCTTTGTATGTATGTGTAGTATGTTCATTAAAACTTTGAAAACCTGTTCTAATGATTGAATGATTGTACTGTGGCGGGGGAAAAAATGAAATAAAAATAAAATCATACTTGTATTAGTCCAACCTTTTACAGCAGTGCTTGTAGCTGGTCTTGCCGATCGTTTCCGAATGCCACTGTCCACAATCGGTTCTTCTTCGGTCTCCTTCTCTGCTCGCGAGCTCCTCCTGCTGGGCCCTTTTGGCTTCTCTACAGCAGCCGCTCTAAAATGATGGGACAAGACAGTGGGGGAGAAACACAAAACTAATATGTTAATAGCTTGTAATGACCAGTTTTCTCCTGCTCTACTTAAAAATGTAATACCACACTCTGGATTCTGCTGTTTTTCCTCGTCTACCACAGATAATGTCCATCTTCTTCCTGCCGTCTTCCACTAAAGTTATTTTTGAGTCTCTGCGGTGCATAGTTACATACATACCTTGGAACTAAGTTGATGGGCGTCTTTCTTTTCTTTGCCCATCTGTGATAGAAGTGGAAAAACAGCGGTAAACTATCGACTCTGGTGTTGAGAACAAAGTTACGTCACTCCCCACCAAACTACGAGAGGTATCCCAGGTAAGAGAGATGTTCCCAGGACAATCGGTTGATTTGTGGAAGGTGTTTTAAGGCTCCGTTTACACTTGGTCCTAAAGGAGTGGACTCTCATTTTTTGTAAAAATAGCTGCATTTTTGCTTCGCAAAACCTCTTGTTTCAGCTCATGGCATGTTGTTTTTAACTGCTTTAAGACCAAATTGGTGGTAGATTACTTCAACAAATGTATTAGTTGCGATTATTTTTTTAAAAGAGGAATTTTGAATTCAAGCACCGGTTAAACCCTCAAGTGTCTCGGAGGCCTCAGCTGTCTAACCAGCTTCCTCAAAAAAATCTTACTAGTGATGCGTGTTCCAAAGCGAGATGGTATTTTGAATATATTAAATTATAAAAAATACTTAGATACAAGTATTCTTAGTAAAATCTTATCCTTCAACAATAATATATTTGGAATGGAAATTTGCACATTAATGACTCCAGATTGGGTGCGTTGGAGAAGAGGCAAATACAGCCAACAGTTGAACCAACGATAATAAATAGCACTGAAGGACTGGAATTAATTTCGACCAATCAGGAAGCTGCGAGGGTGAACATGGGCGTGTCTAACCAGTGCTTGACTACAAAATATTTCCGTCTCAATTGAGAAGTAACTGACAAGCAGTTTAATATCCCTGCGTTATGTCCGGTACATTTAACAACCGTAGAACCCGCCCCTTTTGACCAGTGAGTGTGAACGCATCCTCAGCCATCAGACTTCATGCATCATGTCGTCACACAGATGCATGTCGAGCATACATACCAAATGCAGTGCACCATAGAGGCCCATGTATTTCACCACGTGCATATCCTTTCAACCCAATGAGCTGACTGAACTTGATTTCCATTTACCATTTTCTTTGATGAGAATAAGATGGAAAAAATAAAATTGCAACTTCTCAGAGTCCCGTGATTAAGACCCATGTTTCAATTAAAAGAAAAGGAAACTAAGTGAGATCCATCAGCAAGTTTCTTACCCCTGTTCCGGACCAGTGGAAACTTCTTCCCCTGTTAAAAGATAAAGAGTAGTGCGGTTAATGCATGCTATAAGTCAAATTATTACATTATTTTTTATAACGTCAGCCCTGAGTTGAAAGGCAAAGCTCTCCATTTACTTGTCAGTATTCATTCCCTCCCTCATCTCTGGTCATGAGCTTTGAGTAATGATCAAAAGGACGAGATCGCGGATACCAACGGTCGAAATGAGCTTTCTCTGCAGAGTGGCTGGGCGCTCCCTTAGATATAGGGTGAGGAGCTAAGTCACACGGGAGGAGCTCGAAGTATGTCCACATTGAGAGGACCCATTTGAGGTGGAGGCCTCCCTGGGGAGGTGTTCCGCGCACGTCCCACCGGGAGGAGACCCCGGGAAAGACCCAGGACACGTTGGAGGGATTATGTCTCTCAGCTGGCCTGGGAACACCTCAGGATATCCCCAGATGTGCTGGAGGAAGTATGTGCTGATGGGAAGTCTGGCTGTCTCTGCTCAGACTTCTGCCCTTGCGACCCGGCAACGGATAAACCAAAAGAAAATGGATGGATGGAACTGCAGTGCATGTGAAGCACTTTGGGCAGCTAGTGTCATTCTAAATATGCTGTATAAATAAAGTTGACATGTCAGCCTACAGAAGGATCTTTTTAGTTACATTATGATTAAGTTACACCAAAAACAGTGTAGTAGTCTGATGTATTTTTGTCCAAGTATTTCTATAGATCTAATCACTTTTGTTCTGTTCTTAAAAAATACATGGATTACTTCAATGAATTACTTCAATACATGCAAACAAAACAAAAAGGTCCTCAAAATTCCTCAATTCCCTTTTTTAAGCACAGATCTCGTTTTGCCTTATGTAGGAAAGCTTCAACAGGAAAAACACTGTTTTTGGCTTTCTTAGTCTAAAGTGACGTGAATTCAATTTTAATAAATTGTCTAAATCCAAAAATAATTTCACTAACTCCTTACCGAGCGTTTCTCTTGTTTGTGTCGGGTCTTCTGAGGTTGCTGCAGGACAAACAAAAACAGAATTTTCAGAGGCAAAATAAGTGAAGACTTATATGAATCAATGTTTAAAGCCTCCTCCATGCTTATATTTTCAATCAGTAATAAGGAAAAAATTTAAGGATACAAGAATGCAGTTTTCCAGAAATATCTGTAGACTTAGACTAAACCTAAACTTATAAGAAAGGTAGCCAATTGATTGGAGCAACATAAGAAATACAATAGAAAATCCCTCAACTGCTGCAAATTTCGCGGATAAAAAAGCAAAAAACCCCAGAAAGAACAAGTCTTAGGCCCTGTCCCAATTCTCACCCTTGCCCTTAAAAAGCACACTTGCCCTAGAGTTTGCGCGTGCCCGCGGGAGTGGAAGGGTGTCCCAATACTTAGGGAGAAGAGGTGAGGGCCTTCACACCCCTAAAAACCAACCTTGAGCGCAAGTGAGGTCTGGAGCTCACTTGTGAGCGAGGGTGATCCCATGATGCATTACGATAGCTGTTGGTAAAGCAGTGGTCTCCCCCCTGGACTGCCACTCCCCCCTGGACTGCCACTCCCCCCTGGACTGCCACTCCCCCCTGGACTGCCACCTCCCCCCTGGACTGCCACCTTAACGTGGTGGGGGAGTTTGAGTACTCGGATGATCCTGGGAGCTATGCTGTCTGGGGCTTCATGCCCCTGGTAGGGCCTCCCATGGCAGACAGGTCTCGGGTGACGAGTCAGACAAAGAGCAGTCCAGAAGACACCATGGACAGCACTCAAAAGAAATCAGTGACGTCGCCCGGCATGGCGCAGCCGGGGCCCCACCCTGGAGCCAGGCCTGGGGTCGGGGCTCGTAGGCGAGCGCCTGGTGGCCGGGCCTTAGCCCACGGGGCCCGGCCGGGCTCAGCCCGAATGGACGACGTGGGCAGTCCCTCCTGTGGGCCCACCACCCGCAGAGGGGTCCGTGGTGGCGAAACGGTGCAGAGAGGACTGGGCAGCAGTCGAAGGCGGAGACCTCGACGACCCAGTCCGCACACACAACAGCTGGCTCTTGGGACGTGGAACGTCACCTCACTGGGGGGGAAGGAGCCCGAGCTCGTGGGGGAGGTTGAGCGATACCGACTAGAGATAGTCGGCCTCACCTCCACACACAGCTTGGGCTCTGGAACCCAACTCCTTGAGAGGGGTTGGACGCTCCACTTTTCTGGTGTTTCCCGCGGGGAGAGGCGGCGCGAGCTGGGGTGGCCATTCTCATTGCCCCCCATCTCAGCCGCCACGTGTTGGAGTTCTCCCCGGTGAATGAGAGGGTCGCGTCCCTCCGCCTCCGGGTGGGGGATAAGTCTCTCACTGTTGTGACGGCCTACGGGCCTAACAGCAGTGCAGAGTACCCGGCCTTCTTGGAGTCCTTGGGAGGGGTACTGGACGGTGCACCGCCCGGGGACTCCGTTATTCTCCTGGGGGACTTCAACGCCCATGTGGGAAACGCCAGTGACACTTGGAGAGGGGTGATCGGGAAGAGCGGCCCCCCTGATCTGAACCCGAGCGGTGTTCAGTTGTTAGACTTCTGTGCCAGTCACAGTTTGTCCATCACGAACACCATGTTCAAGCACAAGGGTGTCCACCAGTGCACGTGGCACCAGGACACCCTAGGCCGGAGGTCGATGATCGACTTTGTTGTCGTATCATCTGACCTTCGACCGCGTGTCTCGGACACTCGGGTAAAGAGAGGGGCGGAGCTGTCAACCGATCATCACCTGGTCGTGAGTTGGATCCGCTGGCAGGGGAAGAAGCCGGTCAGACCTGGCAGACCCAAGCGTATAGTGAGGGTCTGCTGGGAACGTCTCGCTGAGCCCCCTGTCAGACGGACTTTCAACTCACACCTCCGGGAGAGTTTCTCCCAGGTCCCGGTGGAGGAGGGGGACATGGAGTCCGAGTGGACCATGTTCTCTGCCTCAATCGCCGATGCGGCGGCTCATAGCTGTGGTCGCAAGGTCTCTGGTGCTGGTCCCGGCGGCAACCCCCGAACCCGGTGGTGGACACCGGCAGTAAGGGATGCTGTCAGGCTGAAGAAGGAGTCCTATCGAGCCATGATGGTTCGGGGGACTCCTGAGGCAGCTGTCCAGTACCGGCAGGCCAAGCGTGCCGCGGCCCGGGCTGTTGCAGAGGCAAAAACCCGGGACTGGGAGGAGTTCGGAGAGTCCATGGAGCATGACTATCGGTCGGCCTCAAAGAAATTCTGGCAAACCGTCCGGCGCCTCAGGAGGGGGAAGCAGTTCTTTGCCAACACCATGTATGGTGCGGGTGGAGAGCTGCTGACCTCGACTGGGGATATTGTCGGGCGGTGGAAGGAATACTTTGAGGTTCTCCTCAATCCCCCCGTCACGTCCTCTGTTTCAGACGCAGAGGCTGAGGATGTTGGGGCGGATACATCCATCTCCCTGGCTGAGGTCACCAAGGTGGTTGGTAGCCTCCATGGTGGCAAGGCTCCGGGTGTGGATGAGATCCGCCCTGATTATCTAAAGTCTCTGGATGTTGTAGGACTGTCTTGGCTGACACGTCTCTGCAACATCGCGTGGCGATCGGGGGCAGTGCCAATGGAGTGGCAGACCGGGGTGGTGGTCCCTCTCTACAAGAAGGGGGACCGGAGGGTGTGTTCCAATTATCGTGGGATCACACTCCTCAGCCTCCCCGGTAAGGTCTACTCCAAGGTACTGGAGAGGAGGCTACGGCCGATGGTCGAATCTCGGATCCAGGAGGAGCAGTGTGGTTTTCGTCCCGGTCGCGGAACACTGGACCAGCTCTATACTCTCCATCGGATACTCGAGGGTTCATGGGAGTTCGCCCAACCTGTCCACATGTGCTTTGTGGATTTGGAGAAGGCGTTCGACTGTGTTCCCCGGGGTGTCCTTTGGGGGGTTCTCCGGGAGTACGGGGTCGGGGGTCCTCTGCTGAGGGCCATCCGGTCCCTGTATGACCGGAGCCAGAGCTGTGTTCGCATTGCCGGCAGTAAGTCAGACCTGTTCCCGGTGAATGTTGGCCTCCGACAGGGCTGCCCTTTGTCACCGGATCTGTTCACTGTATTTATGGACAGAATATCTAGGCGCAGCCAGGGGTCGGAAGGGGTCCGGTTCGGGGACCACAGGATTTCATCTCTGCTGTTTGCGGACGATGTTGTCCTGTTGGCTCCAACGAACCAGGACCTGCAGCATGCACTGGGACGGTTTGCAGCCGAGTGTGAAGCGGCTGGGATGAGAATCAGCACCTCCAAATCTGAGGCCATGGTGCTCGACCGGAAAAAGGTGCCCTGCCCTCTTCAGGTGGGTGGAGAGGTCCTTCCTCAAGTGGAGGAGTTCAAGTATCTCGGGGTCTTGTTCACGAGTGAGGGAAGAATGGAGCGTGAGATTGACAGGCGGATCGGTGCAGCGTGCGCAGTGATGCGGTCGCTGTATCGGACTGTTGTGGTAAAGAAGGAGCTGAGCCGAAAGGCAAAGCTCTCGATTTACCGGTCAATCTTCGTTCCCTCCCTCACCTATGGTCATGAGCTTTGGGTAATGACCGAAAGAACGAGATCGCGGATACAAGCGGTCGAAATGAGCTTCTTCCGCAGAGTGGCTGGGCGCTCCCTTAGAGATAGGGTGAGGAGCTCAGTCACACGGGAGGAGCTCGGAGTAGAGCCGCTGCTTCTCCACGTCGAGAGGAACCAGTTGAGGTGGCTCGGGCATCTGTTCCGGATGCCTCCTGGACGCCTCCCTGGGGAGGTGTTCCGGGCACGTCCCACCGGGAGGAGGCCCCGCGGAAGACCTAGGACACGCTGGAGGGACTATGTCTCTCAGCTGGCCTGGGAACGCCTTGGGGTCCCCCCGGACGAGCTGGAGGAAGTGTGTGTGGATAGGGAAGTCTGGGCGTCTCTGCTTAGACTGCTGCCCCCGCGACCCGGCAACGGATAAAGCGGAAGAAAATGGATGGATGGATGCATTTCCAATGGCCCTGAAAAAGGCAGTCATCAGGCCCCTCCTAAAAAAGAGCAGTTTGGATGCTGCGGTACTTGAAAATTACCGTCCCATCTCAAATCTGCCTTTCATGGAAAAAATTCTTGAAAAAGTTGCCTACCAACAACTTACTGAATTTTTAATATCTAATGACTCATTTGACAGGTTCCAGTCTGGCTTTAGCCCACACCACAGTACTGAGACCGCTCTAGTCAAGGTAACAAATGATATTCGGCTTAACACTGATGCAAGAAAAGTCTACGTCTACGCGTACGTGTATGTGCCTGTCTCTGTGTGTTTGTACATGTGTCCGTCTGTGTGCGTGTGTCTGTGTGTGCGTACATATGCGTCTGTTTCTGAGTGCGTGATGTGCATCAGTTCTGTACCTAATTATAGCAAATCTGCATATGAAATAGAATTAAAAACGTCTCATTTTAGTAAATACTGTGTTTCATAAAGTCATATCTGTGTCAGATCTTATCTGTGGTGAAATCACACACTTTGATAATGTGTGTGACGTGGAACACGTCGGCTGCGTCATTTGCATATTGTCCCCTAGATCCAGGGGTGTCCCAATTTTTAGGGAGAATGTTTTGAGTGCACTCCCCACTGGGAAGGCACTTTGCTGGTGAGGGTACTCACACCTAAGGGCAAGGGTGAGAATTGGGACGGGGCGTAACTCTTACTTTAAAAAGTGTATTATGTCTTGCTGCATCCGGCAACAACAGCTGATAAGAGACAGGTCACACCATCACGTCACTTCTGACGTACTAGCTTCTTTACATCCACCTCTCTACACCTCTAGTCTTCCCCTTCAGCCCCATGATGACGTTTCTCAATTTGAATGCATGTATAAAATAACATGTTTTTGTACCTGTGCTTGTCTGGCTGTTGTCACTACGCGTTGAGGAGTGGTGCTCCGTCGGTGGCTCGGCCTGGTTGGTGCTGACGTTAGCCGTTGATGTGACGCCAGGGCTACCCTCAGATCCTGAAGTGGCCGCGATGGACACCACGGACGGCAACGAATTGTGTGCAGTTGTGACTGTGGAAAGCATGGGAGCAGCGGTTGTCACATTTGCCAAGGCGTCTTGAGATGCGACGACAGAAGCTTGGTTGAGCTGGTGTGTGGTTCTGGGAGCTTCCATTTGCAGGGACGAGCTGGTCGGAAGGTTTAATGCTTGCGTTGTGACGATGTATGACTGCCTATCTCCAGCTACTGACGCTTGGGGAGAGACAGAATTCTTTCGCACAACGGTTATTGCTCCCGGGCTCGAGGAAGCGGGCGGAGACGACATGGGCGGTTGAAACGGCGAGGACACTGGGGGGATCGGATGCGGGGAAGGCTGCTGCAGAGGAGGACTTGGCCTTTGTGTGGGATCGCCGAGATTGTCTGGTTTAACAGGCGCGGAGCTCACCTGCTGATTAGTTTGAGAAGTGACACTAAGAATGGAAGTGGTTGGCATATGCATTGGCCGTGGTTGAGAGCTCATCGCAGAAGAAAGTTGCATGTTAGCAGAAGACACTTGGACCATTTTAAGTGGCTGTGACCCAGCAGTGGTATTCGACGTGACTGACGCACCAGTGACCTGAATTATAGGATTAATAAATAGTGGTGAAGGTGGAATAAATTGTGATCGCGTGGCTGGAGTCTGTTGGCGGATGTCTTGAGGCCTGAGGTTCTTGTTCATTGAAGCGGGCGGCTGAGATGGGGGTGTTGAGGTAATTGCGTTTGAACTGACAAATACAGTGATCTGATTAGGTGAAATGTTGCTAGTTGAAGCTGGGATTTGTATCAGTGAGTGGACAGGTTTATTGACGCTCTGGATTGGTTTTGAAGTCGCTATGGTTAAATGTGAACTTGTGGAAACTGCAGAAACGTGAACGGAAGTCGCAGGGTTGGGGCTATTTACATTAGTAGTGTTAGTAGTGCTGAGATGTTGAGTAGTGACCTGCGGGTTGACACAAAGGGAGACGTTGGTGGTGGGGCTGGGGTTAATGGTAGTGCTGGGCATAGAAGCTTGCTGAAGGCTGTGGCTGCTGGTCAGAACACCAACAGAAGGTTTTGAGTCGCTTGTAGTCAGCACAGGCAGCTGTCCTATACTTTGGGCATTACTATGTGGAACTCCTTCAGTCTTTCCCATCTGTAAAGGTCGGCCAGTCATATTTATATTGTCCAATAACTGATTAAGGGATGTCGGCGCCTCTCTTAAAGCAGGAGAGATTTCGAGTTCATGTGTATGCCGACTAGAACCGGGTGAGTCAGTCTGCTGCGGTGTTGAGATGCGTGGACTCGCCAATCTGGGAGAGGTTAGCTCCCTCATAGCATGTGACTGGGATACTGGTCGTGAGTCTATCTGACCATCTTTGCTGGCCTCACCGTTATTACCCTGAACCACACTGAAAGGTGACTGTGTTTGCGGAGCCTCCATGCCCCCTGCTCCTTGCGAGGGCAGACCACCAGGATTTAAAGGTACCGAAGAGGAGCTCATCATCATCATTTGCCCCTGTGGATTAACAAGCTGTTGCTGCTGGTGAGGTGAGCATACAACCTTTGTCCCCTTTTGCCTTCCTGGACTCGGAGTGGCAGATTTACGACTTGATGCTGGACTGGATCTTCGGCTGTTGCTGGGACTGGCTCTTTTGCCTGGTGCCCCAGACTGCTTGTCTTGTTTAGCACCTGCTGTGCCTGCACCAGTGGATGAGGGGTAAGTCTGGTGACTACTGTTAGGGGCATTTCCGCCAACACCCCCACTATTGCTATTTCCAGGGAGCGCTAAACTGGGAGGAGCCTGTCCAATGGCTTTGAGTGTGGTTGGATTAAGACCTTGTTGGTCAAATCCCCGGTTCAAATTGGGCTGCCGAGGAGGCAAGGGAATGTTGATTTTTGGAGGAAAAAGTCCTGCAATTGAAGCATTCAGTCTTTCTGGGGACAAGTTTATTTCATTGGGCTCTGTACTGGGAGGACGATTGGTAGGTGTGAGGGGATGGTAGGGTCTGGGACTGGCTCTATTTGGCGTTTTGGGTCTTGAACTTTGGGAAGTTGTGGAGACATTTGGGAAGTGAAGATTTGTCATTGCGCCTGCTTGCTGAGGCTGATTAGGCAGCGGTTGCTGTGGATTGGCTCCAGGATGTTGTGGCATGGGTGATTGGCCTTGCTTCATCATGTGAGCATTAGATCCTTGGTTTCCCATGATCTGCTGGGCTCCATTTGATGGTTGCCCTTGTATTTCAGGGCCAGGGGGTCGGTCCTGCTTAGGTTGTGCTAAAGCGGAAGTGTCCTCTGGAGGCGCAGGTTGTCCTTGTCCTCCATCTGGGTGGGACATTCTCCTCGGCGGGCCCGTAAGCTAGAAAAAAATAAATATATTATGAACCATACCTTTGCAGTAAATTCTGCATCTTCAGTATTTTTGGTTTAAATGTATCAGTATCATCCAAGAGCAGAGGGGAAATTTAGAAAAAAGTACAAGGTTCTTTAATATTGGTCCAACTTTGTATTGGTAAATTGGCCACAGCCAATCTCTTCTCATGACTATTGAAATGTTCATAACGTGTTAAGAAGCCAATATTCAGACAGTACACTGGTCTGAACTCAGTGTAATGAAGTATCTGTGTGGCCAAAACATATATCGGTTTAAAGAGTGTATTCTGAATTTAAAGAAAGCCTCACATACATTCCTGCATCTGCACCTCAAAAATAATGTGCCAGAGTGCAAATGTAGTTCAGCAGTGTTTATCATTATGTAAAAGCAACAACTAGCATATGACTGACCTGAAGTGACCTAATGACTGTGGTATAAACAATAAAAAAAAAAGGCTCAGCTCTTCATAATGCCTTTACAGTACCGTATATTAAACATCTGTGGATCTGTGTGGCAATATGCTTCAAATATATAATATAAATAAAATCCATACATCATAATAAGTCTTACTTGTGGATTGACCATCATGGGCATCCTGGCCTTGTCTGGTGAAGGCGGCACACTCCCAGGGCCCTGGAGGCTGATCATCACTGGCATGTTGCCTTGTTGAGAGACAGGAAGCCTCTGTACCTCTGGTGAGTTGGCCATGCCACGAGGGGGAAGGTGGCTCCCTGGAGGCATTGCCATCCGGTTCTTAGCCTGTTCCTGCTGCATCTTCATCATCATTAACATCTGTTGTTGTTGCTAAATGACAAAGCAGACATTAATTTACATTCAATCAGGTATAAAGTGGAAATGATTAAATGTTCAGATGATTTACTTGTAAATGTGATTGTTGAGCTTGTTGTTGCTGCTGAACTTGATGCATCTGTGGTTGATGCATCTGCGGTTGACCTGGCGTTTGTTGTCCCTGATGAAGGCCGATCATTCCCTGCTGCTGCGCGGCCATCCCCTGCTGTTGGCCGGGCATGACCTGTTGTGGCCCTTGCATTCCTTGTTGCTGCCCACTCATTCCAGGCTGTGGCCCCGTTATTCCGGACTGTGCGTTGGTCATCACCTGCTGCTGCCCTGGCATTCCCTGTTGGAGCATGAGCGACTGCGCTCCAGGCATCCCTGGCTGTTGCACCGGTATTCCCTGTTGTGGCATTCCAGGCTGAGGTCCTGTCATTCCTTGTTGTTGCCCCGGGATTCCCTGTTGAGGCATCCCGGGCTGGGACCCTGTCATTCCTTGCTGTTGAGACATTCCAGATTGTGGGCCACTCATCCCTTGCATCTGATGCATCTGCTGTTGCTGTTGCTGCAAATGTTGGAGCTGCTGTTGCTGCATGTGCTGCAACTGCTGCTGCTGCTGCTGCTGCATGAACTGCATTGGCACCTGCTGCAGCACCCTCTGATCTCCTGACTGTCCAGGAAAACCTATGAATGTAAAGTTTTAACTTCATTAGTGAAAGTCAAACTTTTACTACCTACTATTGAGGAAGATCATACAATCCTGAAATTTATATATCCAAGAAAAGAATAGAATGGATGGGACAAAATAAATTGTAACCTGTGACATTAAAAATCAATTATGTCAGTCCTGAAAGATGGACTTTTCACAGTAATGACATAACTCCTTTACATCACCTCTAGTGAGAAATCTGTAACATTATAAATTATAAGTCTATTGTGCCGCAAACAATATCAATAATAGTGAAACACAGTTTAAGCAATAAAGCGACCTGTCTCCCTTTGGCAATACTTACGCTATTCGAAATGTACATATGAAACGTATTCAAATGAATCAAACTTGTTCAAACATATACAGTGCCTTGCGAAAGTATTCGGCCCCCTTGAACCTTTCAACATTTCGCCACATTTCAGGCTTCAAACATAAAAATATAAAATTTAATTTTTTTGTCATGAATCAACAAGTGGGACACAATCGTGAAGTGGAACGAAATTTATTGGATAATTTAAACTTTTTTAACAAATAAAAAACTGAAAAGTGGGGCATGCAATATTATTTGGCCCCTTTACTTTCAGTGCAGCAAACTCAGTCCAGAAGTTCAGTGAGGATCTTTGAATGATCCAATGTTGTCCTAAATGACTGATGATGATAAATAGAATGCACCTGTGTGTAATCAAGTCTCCGTATAAATGCACCTGCTCTTTGATAGTCTCAGGGTTCTGTTTAAAGCGCAGAGAGAACCATGAAGACAAAGGAACACACCAGGCAGGTCCGAGATACTGTTGTGGAGAAGTTTAAAGCCAGATTTGGATACAAAAAGATTTCCCAAGCTTTAAACATCTCAAGGAGCACTGTGCAAGCAATTATTAATTGAAATGGAAGGAGTATCAGACCACTGCAAATCTACCAAGACCCGGCCGTCCCTCCAAACTTTCATCTCAAACAAGGAGAAGACTGATCAGAGATGCAGCCAAGAGGCCCATGATCACTCTGGATGAACTGCAGATAACTATAGCTGAGGTGAGAGAGTCTGTCCATAGGACAACAATCAGTCGTGCACGGCACAAATCTGGCCTTTATGGAAGAGTGGCAAGAAGAAAGCCATTTCTCAAAGATATCCATAAAAAGTCTCGTTTAAAGTTTGCCACAAGCCACCTGGGAGACACACCAAACATGTGGAAGAAGGTGCTCTGGTCAGATGAAACCAAAATCAAACTTTTTGGCCACAATGCAAAACGATATGTTTGGCGTAAAAGCAACACAGCTCATCACCCTGAACACACCATCCCCACTGTCAAACATGGTGGTGGCAGCATCATGGTTTGGGCCTGCTTTTCTTCAGCAGGGACAGGGAAGATGGCTAAAATTGATGGGATGATGGATGGAGCCAAATACAGGACCATTCTGGAAGAAAACCTGTTGGAGTCTGCAAAAGACCTGAGACTGGGACGGAGATTTATCTTCCAACAGGACAATGATCCAAAACATAAAGCCAAATCTACAATGGAATGGTTCACAAATAGACGTATCCAGGTGTTAGAATGGCCAAGTCAAAGTCCAGACCTGAATCCAATCGAGAATCTGTGGAAAGAGCTGAAGACTGCTGTTCACAAACGCTCTCCATCCAACCTCACTGAGCTCTTGCTGTTTTGCAAGGAAGAATGGGCAAGAATTCCAGTCTCTTGATGTGTAAAACTGATAGAGACATAACCCAAGCGACTTGCAGCTGTAATTGCAGCAAAAGGTGCCGCTACAAAGTATTAGCGCAAGGGGGCCGAATAATATTGCACGCCCCACTTTTCAGTTTTTTATTTGTTAAAAAAGTTTAAATTATCCAATACATTTCGTTCCACTTCACGATTGTGTCCCACTTGTTGTCAATTCTTGACAAAAAAATTAATTTTTATATCTTTATGTTTGAAGCCTGAAATGTGGCGAAATGTTGAAAGGTTCAAGGGGGTTGAATACTTTCGCAAGGCACTGTATGACTCTTACTTATACTTAAGATGTAAGTGGAGGAGAGAGTGAAGAAGCACAGAGCAAGTGATAGGAGAGGGATGTAGGGTCAGAGAGTGTTTGGGCCTATGTCTTGTCTGAATGAGTGTGCGGGTGAGCTTTTATTGAGTGAGAGGGATCTGCTTTATCCAACCTCTTTTCAAACTGTACATTGTGGTTTAATTTTGATATCTAGTTTTGTTTTTACTTTTGGTGTACCCAGTGAAAAGAATATCATAATAAATAACCATGTCTCTTTGTCCATGAGCCTATATATTTGTATTCTATAGGTTTTTATAAACTCCCTAATAATTCTTATAAACTAAAAAAAATAGGCTCATATCTTGTGAATTTCATCCGACCCACTACCAAAAGGTACGAATAATGGGCAAAGTTATTTCAGTATGCAAGAACGTTATAAACAATTATTATACGGCTCTTCACAGTTGAAGTAGAACGCTCCATTGATGTGAATGTAATTTCAAACATTTTACCGGTCATTTCTTAATAACGGACCTCTGCAACCAATATCGACCGCTGCCAATGGCAACAAAATTCATGCTTGTAATTCACGTGTCCCAGATCCATCCGCAAGTAGACCGAGTAGACCTGTCGGTACTTATTTTCCGATAAAAACTTACGTTATGGTGTGCAGTTTATTTACTTGGGTGATGCCGAGGAACCATGCATTTGTTTTTACCTGTGGGTCTATTAGGAAATTCTGGGATTTTAGTTACTGGGCTATCCAAGCCCAGACCCTGATCACCAAGTTCTGAATCTTCCAGTCCAGCTTCAAGACTAAAAACAAAGACAATTGAAGATGTGTTAAAATAACAAAGACCATAAGATGGTCTGTTAAATTATAACTTGTCATTCACAGATTGAGAGGAGTACACCAAAAACCTTACCCAAGTCCATCTCCTGGTTGACCTTCACCTTCTTTGGACTTCTTCTTTCTAGGTGGTTTCTTCTTTTTAGGTTTGGCCTGATTCGCTCCCCCGGCTCCCTGCTTTCCCCCTGGTCCAAACTGACTCGCTGAGATATCGCTCTGCAGCAAATTGACCAGCAAAGGGCTCGTCAAAGTCACATCTTTGTTTCCTGCAAAGTTAGCTGCCTGTCCACAAGGGCCGCCCATCTGCATTTGACCAGCAAACTGCGGGTTAAAGTTCATGCCGTGGCCTTGAAAATGTCCATTTCCCATTTGCATGTGCTGTGGGGCTCCCATGATGCCTTGCTGCTGCTGCTGCGCCTGTAGATCCGGCACTATTTGCTGCACGCTCATGTCTCCAGCGGCACCGGAGGGATCTCCCATGGGATGAGGATGTTGCTGAGCAGCTTGTTGTTGTAACATTGCTTGCTGCTGCTGTTGCTGTTGCTGTTGCTGCTGTTGCTGCTGCTGCTGTTTCTGCTGCTGCAGCTGCTGGAGCTGTTGCTGAATGAGGGGGTGACCTGCAGGAAGCCTCATTTGTTGCCCATGCATTGTCATCACCTGATTAGGGTTTCCTGGCATGGGCACTTGTCCTTGCTGGTTCATCTGGGCATGCTGCTGCTGCTGCTGCAGTTGATGTTGTTGCAACTGATGCTGTTGTTGAAGTTGCTGTTGCTGAAGCTGAGCAAGTTGTTGCTGCTGCTGTGGAGTCATCTGCTGAACCTGGGCCTGGAACTGAGACATGTTTCCTTGGATATTTGGAGAAGGTCCACGCATCATCTGGCCAGGCATCACCCCAGGGGGCATCTTCCCTCCAAACGGCTGTTTGTTCACCTGCATTTGGTTTGCAACCATTTGCTCCATCATAGGGTTTTGTTGCTGCTGCTGTTGTTGCTGTTGTTGTTGCTGCTGCTGCTGCTGCTGCTGTTGCTGTTGCTGCTGCTGAAGGAGCATGGCTTGGTGCCCTTGGCCTCCAACCATCTGACCCTGCCCATGCATCACCCCCTGGCCTTGCTGAGGCATCAGTTGCTTGGGTGGGGTCATTCCACCTCTCTGTCCTTGAGTCAGCGGTCTGGAGAGGACAGTCTGACCTCCACCCTGTGCTTGAGCCATCTGGCTGGGGGAGGAAGACACAGGCTGGGCCTGATGCTGGAGGCCCATCATTTGAGGACCAGTAGTGGTCCCTGGTGGAGGCCCCGCCATGCTGCTTTGGACACCCATCACATTAGGCTGTGAATGAGGATGTCCCTGAACTGAGTTTGGTGTTGAAACAGATGGTTGAGCCCCTAGTATTTAAAATAAATAAATAAAATGCATTTCAGTCTCAACAACATTAGCAATATTGTGCAATAGAGAATGGTGAAAATGTGAATAGTAGAACAGTTTAAGGGAATGTGTCCTGTAATAATGTAAAACAATTTACCTGTATGCGCAAGTGCCTGGTTAGGTTGTAACTGTTGATTGACTCCTCCCATTGGGGTTCCTGGTGCATTAACACTCACCTGACCCTGGACAAAATTTGGGTTGGGGAACCCCATTGGACGTTTAGCCATTCCTGGAAATATACACAAACATTGTCGAAGTGTGCAATAAGGCCTTGTGTCATTATCATATAAAGTATATGTATATGAATATGATTGAAGACCAGACTCGAAATAAGGACTGAAGCCAACATTCATGGTAGTAGTCTAGTCAGCTGTTATCCTTTAAATTGATTGACAACCATTTATATCTATTAATTTGTTTAGGTTTCAAACTCAAAAAAATAAAAATTGAGTGAATGGAGGTTCTTAATAAAAATGCACAAATCATGCGTTTAGTTGAACAAATTTTGAAAAAGTTCAATTAGTTCAATGTAATTTTCACCGTCCGTTATAAACACTTAAGAGTCTGCACAGTTTTCGACCCTGACATTGTATTATTAAAAGTAGAATTTTTTGAGAACGAACAGATCTGTATCACACCTGGAAGTCAGTATAAACCATAACTTCACACACCTCACTAGTGTAAGTTTGACAGAACTGTGCCCACCTGGATGGACCTGGCCTTGTTGTAAACCCATGAATCCTTGCTGCATTCCAGGCTGTTGACCGAGAGCCGCACGGCCGGGGGAGCCAACACCTTGAGGGAATCCTTGAGGAGTTGTGGGTCTTTGAACCATCATCGGGGGAGTACCAGGTGAGCCCTGCTGGAACGGTGATGAGGAGGAACCAGGAGATTTAGCAGTGAGATTGCCCTGTGGCCCTGATGTTACGGGCATGGGTGGAGGTGGGCGAGGTTGTCCGATGACCCCACCAGGTCCCCCTTGTGGACCTTTCGGCTGAGGTGCAGCAAACTGGTTCATTCCAGTCTGCTGCTGCTGTTGCTGCTGCAGCTGAGCTTGACCCATGGTATTAAACACTTGGCCAGCTTGTTGGCTGCCAAAAGGGTAAGGTGGTGGAGGGTGACTTGGGGTCTGGACTGAACCAAGTGAAGGTGGACGCTGCATCATTTGACCTTGTGGCGGAGGCTTTCTCCAGGCAGGCCCACCTTGGGCATTTTGAGGCATTTGATTCCAGCCAGGAGGCATTGCCATTTGCCCCGATGGGTTGAATGGTGGTCTGGGACCGAGCTGTGCCAGCTGTTGGGCCTGTTGCTGCTGCTGCTGTTGTTGTTGCTGTTGGTGGTGGTGCTGCTGTTGGAGCTGCTGCAGTGCTGCAGGGTTCAGTGGTCTGCCCGCCTGCAGAGCCTGCATGTGGTGAGCAGCTTGAGGAGTCATGGAGCCTGAAACCAGGGGCCCAGACTGTTGGTGCTGAAGTTGCTGCTGAGGCTGCATTGACATGCCTGACATCATTGGATCCATCATATCTACAAAACACATTCTCTTTTAGACATTGTTGATACAAATGCACTGTGAAATAGCTTTTTAGAGAGTAAATCCTTCACCTGTCTGAGAGGGTGGTCTTTGAACACGAGGATGCATCTGTCCACTGCTGCCAGGTATCATAGCCTGTCCTGGCATTCCCGGTCCAGGGGGAACCATGGATGGATTAGCCATTCTTACCCCACCTACAAAAGTCATCAGAGAGCTTGTATTAAGATTCTCAATCAATGTGCCAGCAATGCTAAAATACAAATTACAAATTGATTAAATCATAGACATACCAGGACCGGGTTGGCCTGGAAACCCAACATCCATCCTCATCTGACTTTGTCCTCCTATTGGTCCATTTACTTGTCCTCTGTTCTGTACTGGTACAACATTAATTGCGCCTTCCCCTAAAAAGAATTACATAATGTCGATTTACTCATCTTGGAAATAGATGGTATATTCTATTTGGTTGTATGTCCAATAATAAGTAAATTCAATTATTGTGTGTACCTTCAATTTGCACAGAAAGAATCCCCAGGTCTCTAAGCTGCTGCTGGTTGTTTTGAGCCAAGAGCCTGAGCCGCTCAGCCGCCTCACGAGGAATGTTGAAGGTGACTCGAACGCTGTTCCATGGTTCAACATGATGCGGCTGCAGCCGTTCTGTATCTGTGATGAAAACACAATCACACTTAGATTATTATATATTTATAGCAATTCTGCATAACTAATTCACAACAGTAGTTATCTCGCAGGACTTTGCAAAGTTTTCGATTTGCCAATGCAGATCAGAGAAACGAACACAGGAAATGCAACAATAAGGGGCAGATGAACAATGTCCTTAAATGTTGTTTATGTCCTGGATCATCACCACTGCATCAGCACTATCCTAGTTTTTCTCATCGAGTACAACAAAGTAATGCAATAGTGTGTGCACCTACCCATGTCCAGCACTTCTGGGATTCCACTGAGGATACTGTCCAGTTTCTGGGTGAAGTCTTCATCCTCCATATTCCCTTTAAATGACACAAAGACCGTGAACTCGCCCTCCAGAACGTTGACATCTTGTAGATCTTCATTGTCTGGCGCTGAACTTCCACTGCACGTGTCATCGTCTTCTCCAGCCTCTCCCCCGACACCAGAGTCCCGGTCAGAGTCATCGTCTGCCCCCGGGTCAGTGCTTTTCTGCCGAGGGACTCCCATCCTCCCTCCTTCACCAGGAGTGGCGCTTAACAGAGCGGCTCATGCTGTAGTCAAAAGAGATTTTCCAAGTAATTTCAGGTGCATGGAAGTAGGACTCATCCAATAACAATAGTAGACGCACAATATAGAGACATTGCAACAATGGCGCATTAGCAAGATCACGGATTCATCACAATTAACAAAATTGTTCAAAAAGTTATACACTAAATTAGTGGACAATTTTAATATACAAATCCTTTCATGGGATTTATATATTAAAATAATGTATAAAACATATGCAAACTCATGCGTGAGATTGACAGGCGGATCGGTGCTCATGACCTATGGTCACCTATGGTCATGAGCTTTGGGTAATGACCGAAAGAACGAGATTGCGGATACAAGCGGTCGAAATGAGCTTCCTCCGCAGAGCGGCTGGGCGCTCCCTTAGAGATAGAGTGAGAAGCTCAGTCACACGGGAGAAGCTCGGAGTAGAGCCGCTGCTTCTCCACGTCGAGAGGAACCAGTAGAGGTGGCTCGGGCATCTGTTCCGGATGCCTCCTGGACGCCTCCCTGGGGAGGTGTTCCGGGAACGTCCCACCAGGAGGAGGCCCCGGGGACGACCCAGGAGACGTTGGAGGGACCATGTCTCTCAGACATGGTCCCTCCAACGCCTTGGGGTCCCCCCGGACGAGCTGAAGGAAGTGTGTGTGGATAGGGAAGTCTGGGCGTCTCTGCTTAGACTGCTGCCCCCGCAACCCGGCAACGGATAAAGCGGAAAAAATGGATGGATGGCAAAAACATATACAATATATATTATATTAATATAATATATAAAACCTGACATGGATTTAAACTGGCTCAGAAGAAGTTTTTTGACTCAATAATAATACTACAAGTGTGTTTATAAGTATTTCTAATCAAACGAGGGGTCTTTATCATAATGAGCAAAAGTTTTTAGTGAGATGAAGGCAACATGTTGTGGTCTGATTTTTTCACAAAATGACGCTTTTACTGTTTGGTTAAATATGTATCATTTAAGAAGAAAAAAAGTAAGGAACCTCAGCTCTAAGTTTCAGAATAGAATGTGGTAATTTGTATGTTGTCAAGTTAGGTTAAGGTACTAGCAACACTATGTTTAAGATTTCCATCCATCCATTTTCTTCCCCTTAATCCATTTCGGGGGGGGGGGGGGGGGGTGGCAGTCAGAGCTGCACCCAGTACACTAAGCACCAGTCCCTCACTGATCCTCCTGCAGGTGGTGAGTCCACAGGAACTGAGATCTTTCAGCGGGGGCTTCAGGCAAAGTGGGGTTAAGTGTCTTGCCCAAGGACACAACAACAGCAGTCATCAGTGGGAGTCGTGGAGTAGGTCTCGTGGTGGATTCGAACCAACGATCTTCAGGCCCAAAAGGCTGATGATCTACCAACTGAGCCACTGTTGCCCAAAAGGTTAAGATTACATTGATATAAATCTTAACCAAGGAATCAAGGAAAACGTCATTGGCATCACTCAAGCTGTGTTTTGGTTAAAACTATAAAAAAATCCAAAGTACACTGACCTTTCAGGATCCACACAACTAATCATTATCAACATAGACGTGAAATACAGCCCTTTATAGCGAGAAAAACTAATACTGAAACGAGTTGGTGCAACTTCAAAACAGCAGAGAGCCCTAAAGAACCATTCGTGTTTGTCTTTTTCATTAAAAGTAACAAGTTTAAACAAACAAGTAGACATGTTGATCCCCAAAACCTATAATTCTATCTGTTAGTTACTGATATATTAATACAATTATTGTAACAGGCCTTCATAGAAGAAGCACATAGAAACCTTTCTATTACTGTCTATTAGATTTGTGAGTCAAGTGGTGTTCAGTCTATTCATTCTAGTCGCATATTCATCAGCAGCATGGGACAGCACAGCGTACTAAATTAGTAATATGGGTTAGTGATGTCGCAGGTAGATTTTGCTTGTATACCAGCATCATATATCGGCCCAGCTCCGGGGCCTTATCACAATTGTGGGCTACGCTGTGATTACGTGACCACAAAAGCCGGAATACATCTTATGCTAACGTCAATGAGCAATAACAGTGTGCTATAATTGTGCACAAGTTACACTGAAGTGGCGGTGAATACGCTAAAGATCACTTGGCACCACAACATCACAATTGCGAGTCCGACTCAGTGGTTGAAGCTAATGCTAAGCTAAACGCCGCAGGGAAACGTAATAAATGCACGGTAGATCCGAGCGCATAACATTAACGCGAGATAGAGGAAAGTGTGCCAAACTAACGGCACGCAGTCGTGACAAAAGCAAAGTCTTACCACGTAAAGACATCCGAAAAATAATTAGACCGGTCTGTGCCTGCTAGCTCAGATTAGCCAACAATACGTGAATCGCTAGTAACTCGTTAGAAAACTCACTTCCGGTCAGGAATTTCAAAATAAGACACAACCTTTAATGTACTCGATTGATCAATTATTCCACAGGTCAAAGAGTAAGTAACAGACTGTAACAGAATATACACGACAAAACATGTAATAAAATGTCTTATTCATAGCATAAATATATGATCTACCATTTTAAAACAGGACAATACATTTATTCAAGGCAAACAGTTATTCCAGGAGGCAGAAAATAATTTATTACAACAAAGTGCAGACGGTTCTCTACTATTTTGCAGTCCTTAGTGTTGCACATTGATAAAACACTACTGTTTTACTGTTTAATTATCACAGACATAAAAACAGCCACTGTCTTGGAGGCTCATTGACATGTTTGAACTAAATGGGATATGTAATTTTCAAACCACAATAAATTGGGCTTCAAAAAATAAAATCCATGTAATTCTTGGCTATAAAACAGTTTGTGTCCATCTCTAGTTTTCATATCCATGCACTTTGGCCTCTGTCACAACAGTTCTATAGACACTAAAATATTGTTCAGTGTTAAGTATTTTCCATTGATTTCAACGATAATATGAGAAGCCTTGTCCCCCTTTTTTCATATTTTTTTCTGGCACCTCATCTTGATTCATGTATTTAAATAGATTACTTAAATAAGTTAATTCTACAAAATGTAATGCTGTTGCTTGAATGGCACACAGTAATAATTGCACTATATAATATTGAGAGCCAACGCGTCTTCACTCCTGGGATCATTCGCTCCGATGATGGCGTCATTGGTCCGTCTGGCGCTTTCCACTAACGACAGCAGATCTTTCCGTTCAACTTTGTGACCTTTTCTCTGAAGGAGCTCCACGTCTTCTTGAAGAAAGTCAACTGTGAAACAAGAAAGGAGTTTCAAGAAAATAGAAATACTGTTTTTATTATGAAAAATTATAATGGCTTCTATGGATAGCAAAGGGACTTCCAACTCAAATATAATAATGCATCGTTTTTTAGGACACTCAAAGGCGCTGCATAGGTCATTATTCATTCACTATTATTTTGGCCACAGCTGCACACACACATACTTTGGCACTTTACAGCCACCTGAAGCTCCCAGAGGTCTCCCATCATAGCACTAACCAGGCCCTGCTCTGCGTGGCTTTAGAGGTCTGATAGGATAGGGCCTTCACATGCAAGTATGGCCAAGAAGAAATTGGATTAAAATTTGCTTTTTCGCCAATTAAAACCATGTACAGGTACTTTTTTTTTCAGAGTGCCCAGCCACTCTGCGGAGGAAGCTCATTTTGACCGTTTGTATCCACGATCCCAAAGCTCAAGACCAGAGGTGAGGGAGGGAACATAGACTGAGCAGTAAATCTAGAGCTTTGCCCACCTCCAATCACAATGTAAAAAATGTAAAACTATTCTAAGTATGAACCAATTCAACCTAGATGCCATAATAGCACAGCATCATTCCAGAAGAGAGCTTTTTCTTATGTATCTGAATGACAAATCATACTGAAAACAACTTACTATCCACCAACAGGGCGTCGGTCCGCAGCTGTGGGTGGAGTCGACCATATGCCAAACTTTCACTTATATTTATACGTGAGGACAACATGTTCAGCAGCACCTGTGACATACACCATTGGGAGTTTATATGAAAATGTTAGTATCAAATCAAATATACACAAATGCACAGGGTTCCGATTTTAAGGAGATTTATGGATTTTTATTAACATATTTGGACATAGGTCGTCCTGCTTCCTATGGACCAGTCGCTCCTATGTAATGTTTTTTATGAGTGTCTTTCCTGTGTTCAAACAGTTTGATTATCTGATTTGTCGTTAAGGAATTCCTTCAAGAGGTCTGCTGTGGTGATTTAGGGCTATACAAAAAAAAATTACATTGAATTGAAGGGTGAAGTTAGACGAAGATGCGTTCACATTATTGGTCAAGATTACTCAATAAATCTCATTTTGTGTAAAGACTTAGAATGGCCTTGTGCATGAACTGTGCTATACAATTAAACAAGCTCACCTGTGTGATGCCACTAAGAGCCTTTTCTCCATTAGAAGAACCAGTGGCCACATATGTTCCACACAGACCCAACGCAGGCCTCACCACAGTGGGCATGAGGAAGGAAAGTGGCCTCTTCCCGGGCTGCAGACGGTTATGCTGCAAGAAGGAAGGACATAAATGTTATAATACAAGAAAAGAAGACGTTTTCACATATAAATCTCCACACAATGGATTTCAAGAAGAGATAACATCCTATCTGCCATAGTCATGATGATGTTGTAATGATGCTATAAAAAAGACAAGCCGATATGCTGTTTGTAGTAATGAGTCACAAAATAGCATCACCGGTCTTTAGTCTGCTGCTGTGACCTGTCCTGCTCCACCCAGCGGCTACTCCACCTCTGCTGCTGTGACCTGTCCTGCTCCACCTCTGCTGCTGTGACCTGTCCTGCTCCACCTCTGCTGCTGTGACCTGTCCTGCTCCACCTCTGCTGCGGTTGCATTTTAATACTATTGTCATATATTTTTAGAATTATCTATTTATATGTTTTTCTTGAATGAATGCATGTGTTTCTGCTGCTACTGGACACCTACATTTCTCAGACGGGGGATCAATGAAGAATGTATGTATATGTGACTAGAGGCAGTCGTACGTGCTCGTCAAATAAGACCAGAGGGCTTTTGGGAGATTCTTTCACACGATGGCGTTTGCTGAAAGATTGGGCTTCACACTCATGCTTCAGTTTGCATTATATTTGGAGAAATCCAGTTAAAATCACTTCCGGTAAAAGTTATAAGATAAGATTTGCTTTATTTATCTCACATAGGAGAAATTTACATGTCACATTTGGCATGGATAGAGACACTCAGATTGTGCAAGAGGATGCAAACATGTTACATGCAGGATATATGTACAATAAAGTGACAATAATTATGTGCAACAAAAGTGACAAGTGTCAATTGGAAACAGTGTCAATAGTAGTGCAGGTTTTCACACAGTGATCATTTAAAGTGACTTATTGTATTCTACATCTATATTGTCTGACATAGTGTAAAAAGCGAAAATCTTTTTGGAAAGTGATCTTGTGTGAGCGATCCCGACGTGCAGTGAGCTTATGCACGTCTCTCGCACACGTTTTAGCTGGTCTTCCCTCTGGGGCAGGGAGAGCATCTATTGGATCATGTGCATTTTTTCAAAAAGTGGAGAGGGCGGTTGTTTCCTCGGTAAAATCCATCCATCCATCCATTTTCTTCCTCTTTATCCGTTGCCGGGTTGCGGGGACAGCAGTCTAAGCAGACACGCCCAGACTTCCCTATCCACACACACTTCCTCCAGCTCGTGTGGGGGGACCCCAAGGCGTTCCCAGGCCAGCTGAGAGACATAGTCCCTCCAGCGTGTCCTGGGTCTTCCCCGGGGTCTCCTTCCGGTGGGACATGCCCGGAAAAACCTCCCCTGGGAGGCGTCCAGGAGGCATCCGGAACAGATACCCTATCTCTAAGGGAGCGCCCAGCCACTCTGCGGAGGAAGCTCATTTCGACCGCTTGTATCCGCGATATCGCCCTTTCGGTCATTACCCAAAGCTCATGACCATAGGTGAGGGAGGGAACGAAGATTGACCGGTAAACTGAGAGCTTCGCCTTTTGGCTCAGCTCTCTCTTCACCACAACAGTTCGATACAGCGAACGCATCACTGCACACGCTGCACCGATCCGCCTGTCAATCTCACGCTCCCTTCTTCCCTCACTCGTGAACAAGACCCCGAGATACTTGAACTCCTCCACTTGAGGAAGGACCTCTCCACCCACCTGGAGAGGGCAAGGCACCTTTTTCCCGGTCGAGCACCATGGCCTCAGATTTGGAGGTGCTTATTCTCATCCCAGCCGCTTCACACTCGGCTGCAAACAGCCCCAGTGCATGTTGCAGGTCCTGGTTCGTTGGAGCCAACATGACAACATCGTCCGCAAACAGCAGAGATGAAATCCCGTGGTCCCCGAACCGGACCCCCTTCGACCCCTGGCTGCGCCTAGAAATTCTGTCCATAAACACAGTGAACAGAACCGGTGACAAAGGGCAGCCCTGGCGGAGGCCAACATGCACCGGGAACAGGTCTGACTTACTGCCGGCAATGCGAACGCAGCTCTGGCTCCGGTCATACAGGGACGTACTCCCCGTACTCCATCTATATACCTCTTAAGCCCCATTTCCATTAGCCTTACTTGGCTCTATTCTACTCCATTAAGCTTTTTGGTAAACATGGCTTCCAGCAGCAATGGCCAATCACTGACAGTTAGCACGCTTTAGTTTAGCACCAACTGGGCCTTGGTATCAAAAAGTACCTGGTACCAGTTAAGCAGGGCTGGTAGTGGAGTACAGAGCCGAATAGAGTAGAGTAAAGTAGAGTAGGATTGGACAAAACAGGGCTTTAGTAATGAGAGTTGTTTTAGCATGTTATAAAACAAGGATTTACTGGGTTTGGCGAGGAGCTGTCCGTTTTATTGGGCCAAGAGAAGTCCAGAATCTGGCTGTTGAGGAGTATTCCAGAAGATGTCAAGATCCCACTGCCAAATGGTTTATTCAAGGAGCTAATGAAATAAAAAAAAAGTATTCAAACGTTAGCTTGTGTTTTTATAATACACAGACAAAAGAACATATTTGAGGTCAACTTTCAGTTTCAGTTAACAGATATATATATAAAAAAATAAAGTTTCCACATGTTATTCAGACACAAAGTGAAAAAGAGTGGACCACCCTCACTCAGCCAATCATGATTCAGCCCAAACCGTCAGGGCTATCTGATTTATGTTCTGATTTATTCACAACATTTCACTTCTACAAGACTCTATTGGGGCAAAACAAATTGTGACATTTATGAAGGAATTTTTTTTTTTAGATTTTTGTAGACTTTAAATGTAATCACTTTTGAAACTACTTAAACACAATCCAGGGATCAGAAAACTCCATTAAATGTACCAAACCTATTCAAGAACAGATAGTAATCATAATTACAGACATACTTTTACAAGACCCTTTCTGTTGGCACAAACTGCATGTGTCATTTATGAAAACAGAAAAGTCAGGAACCTCAGCTTTAGGTGTGGTTTTACATGTATCTCACCTCATAACAGACACGATGATGTCGTCCGGCCCCATCACTATGACTTGAGCAGCTCCGGCTCCTTCCTCCAACGAGAATGTTTGTGTGTAGTGATCAGCAGGGTACGTTTGGGAATCATTTATCATCTGGCGAAACTCTGAGGCCTGTTCTTTGCTTAAGAGGGTGAACAACAAAAAAGGAGGCATTAAAACAAACAGTGAAGATTTGCTCTACCTCTCTTGAAGTTGTTTGATAAATTCAGTCTAAACTAGTGCTGTCCAACGATTAAAATATTTAATCGCGATTAATCGCGTGAATTTCATAGTTAACTCGCGATTAATCGCAAATTAGTCACACATTTGTATCTATTCTTTATGTCCCTTGAATTATCATTTTAATACTACTAAAAAGTGAATAGGCGTGCTGTGTGCAATTGCTTTTTTAAATATTTTGTAAATTTGTTCATGTAAATACTCTATGCTGTTTCTCTGTTTACTTTCGGTATATCTATGACTGTATACTGTTTGCTTGTATTGCCTTTTTTATTAACCCCTCCCCCCCATCTCCCACTTCATGTCCCCCCCCCCCCTCCTATGTGCCCTTCTGGGTTTCTTCTTTGGCCCCCTGTATCTCCAACTACATATTGTTTGTAATCTCTGTCTACAATGTATCTGAACTAGTCCTTTTCTTTGTTTCTATTTTTTTAATTTTTTAATTTTTTAATCGCGCCGTTAATATTGATTTGCGTTAACGCGTTAATAACGCGATATTTTGGACAGCACTAGTCTAAACCAAACATAAACCAAACATAAACACAGAACAATGTGCTGCATATTTCACATATAAATACCTCAACATCTTGGTCTCGACTTCAGAGACAGACGTGTCAAACATGGGGTCCCCGATCTCACTCGCCATGGCCAGGGCTATTTTTAGAGACTGAAAGAAAATATGTTTTTTTAACAATAACACTTCATACTTCTAGATTTCTATAAAAAAGATAAAACAACAAATGAAATGAAATGGAAAAAAAAAATATATATATATATATATATGTTTAAAATTATTTTAAATGATTATGTGAAATGTTGCAAACGCTTTTTATACTTTATGTTTTATGTGAATTGATCCTATGTGGACCCCAGGAAGATTAACGACTACTTGTGGAAGATAATTTCCAACATACCTCTGCGACCCAATGAAACGTGCTCTGTCTGGAAAGCTCATTGGTAATATTGTAGCCTTCCAAAATGTTCAACGCCGTAATCAAAGCGACGCCAGCGTGTGGAGGTGGAGATGCCATAATGTGATACCCTTTGAGCAAGAGAGATATAGATTTCACATGTTACAATAAAACATCTCAGGTGACACAGTTCATGGGTGCTTTTCACGTTAAATAATACAAGCCTCCTTCTGGCTTTTTAGTAATATAACAGGTTCTTACCTTGATAATTGATCTCAACTGGTTTACGCAAAACTGTGCTGTATTTTTCAAAGTCTTCTTCATTAAGCACACCACCATTATCTTTCACCTATGCAAAACAAGGTCAATGTCATGTAAATGAGCCATATACAGTCCGGTCCTAAATTATTGGGACTCCATACATGCACCAACACGATGGATTTGAAATAAAATTCTCCAGAAAATCCAATAAAATTTCACAGAGCATGAGCAGAGGTAAAAGCCTGTCTGTGACGCAAAGTTCTGAAAGAGAAAAAACACTAACCGCATTAATCATTTCTTGCGTGAAGTTCCCATTGTAGAACTCTGAAATGCCCTTCACTGCCACAGACTCCAAGATGTCCGCCAAGTCAATCCTACGAATGTACAACCCAGGAAGAGGCACCTGGCCATTAGGGAGAAACAAGTCCTCGAAAGCCTTGGACATGTTCTGCTTCTTGGCATCAGCCAGAGCTTGGGCTAAAACGAGAATCAGAACCAGGTCAGATTTTTTGTTATTATATACAGTAGTTAAAGCTGGGGTAGCTCACTTTTTCACCCTAATAAATATTTAATATAAATATGTTTTTGTCCCAATGGTAAAAGTAACATATTACTAAGACCACATCATGCCGGCATCCTATAATCATTGGGAGCCCTGGTCTTCACTATTAGATGTGTGAGTCTTGGATCTATTGTTTGTGGGAGCAAATCCCTCCCCAAGATTTTTCACTTTTTCCCACAGATGCAGGAGGGTCTAAGGACAGTGATTATTCAGGACATTTAGGGACAGTGGCCCTTTGGACCAATGGCTTCTACATGTTTGTTATGATTACGTTTCCTTGGTCTCTAAATATTGTTGGTGAATTGACAATGTTGTAAAGTCCTTTGAGACGACTGCTGCTGTGATGTAAGGCTATACAAAAAGCTTTTCTGTCTAAAAAAGCTGATTTAATGATGTGACAGAGGTTTATAACTATAGTGATAAAACAAAATTGCTTTGGTGGATTATAGAGCATATTAAATCCATACTTTTTGGTTTAAAGATTAGGTACCCCAGCTTTAAATAAATATGGGCCATCACAAATTACACAACATCATATCTTAATTATGCATTTTCTCACAATAACCATGGAATACACTTGCCGAGCTCATGAGTAACATTGAATCCATTTCTGGCCACATCAGCTGCAGCGGTCACAACGTCTTTCCAAGGCATCCTAGAATAAAAACACATCATTATTAAAACAGATACCAGGCTATTTTGCATAAATGTTAATTCGTGAGCACTGTTCCTGGCCACATGAATACATCGAAATTATTAAAACTGTTCTAGCCTCACAGAAAGACAAAAGGGAGAAAACTAATGGACCAGATGGACGTCACACTGTCGGCATAATTACAGTGCTGAGACCTCGCTACTGCTTTGAATAGCAACTTAATCAACCCTTATTTCACCGAGCGTAGGAGGAAAATTGAACGGATTTTAACAACAGGTTAATATGGTATAATAATAATGTATAGAAACTGAATGCTTTGGCTTTACTATGAAGGTTAGTGCTGAAGCCAAGATTGAGATCTCATTCAAGCATTTTTTTCCTAGGGCTGTGACTTTTGGTGGTTTTTTTGCCCATATAAGGAAATTGGCTTCAGTTAGCTCAACATTTCTGGCATTTCTTTGGTCAACTATAAAACCCTAACATTGTATTGCATTCAAATGTTGTAATATTGAGCAACTCACCTGCCGTATAACTGATGAGCCTGGTGCATACCACTCAGCATACCAGGAACTCCCACAGACAGACCGGGCTGCAGAGGAAAGATTGTATTATAAGAAATGCTTTGGTACCATTGTAGCTTATTCCAAATTCTAAGGCTCTGACTTAGAAAAGAAAAATATTGTCATTAAATCTGTTTGATTTATCCACAACATTTTACTTTTGGGCACAACCAAAAAAATAGGTACCCCAACTTTAGTTTAGCAAGTTTAGTTGGGCTTTGGGAGAAGACATGGTTGGGTGTTTTGAAAGGCGCTTTTAAATAAAATGTATTATTATTATTATGGTGGATACACGGACACTTCCTAAGGCTCCTATAATCCAGCTCCGTTTCAATCAGGGATGTATTTATTGCGTGCTCAGGTTAAGCAAAGACACGCACACAACAAGCAGAGAATGGTCCTGTGCGCGTCTATGGTCCTGGGCATTGCCCGGTACGCCAGATGGTCAGTCCAGGCCTGGTTTGGACTAAACCAAATGAATAACATGCCATGGTAGCTCATTATACCTGACCATCAATGTAAGTGAATAGTAACAATTGAAAACGATTTCAGGGTCAAGTAGAAATGGTCCGGCAGGCCGCATTTGGCTCGTGAGCCTGGGTTTTGACACCTGTGCATAAGAGTATATCATAGATTTACACTTTTGAAAAACAAATCTAAAACTAAAAGTTTTTATTTTGTTTATTTATTCAAACAGCAGTATGCTTAAAACGTAACATTCTCAACCACATCCAGTTTTGTATGCTCCCATTCCTACTAACCATGATGCAACATTTGCCACTGTGGAACAAATAAAGGATCTCTTAATCTAAAGACTCCCTTGTTTGGACAATCTTTTATTCAGCCTTTTGGGTGTGTCTCCGTGTGATTCGTTATGTTGCACTATATTCTAGTTACTGCAGAGAATTCTAAAGAAACTTGATTTACTTTTTCCTCCAGCGCTGTTTGAAGCATCGTCTCAGTTATGTCAGAAGGAGCCGTTTCTCTGAAGTCAATCACTCGGGTCTCATTTTTGCGGATGTCGTGCACCAACATAACTCCCCCACTGCATAAAACACACAACACATTATTCATAATCAGGATCAGAATTATTTGAATTGTGATTGTAAGTAACAGGAAGACATGAAACATACATTTGCTGTAGAATATGGTGAAAATAAGTAATACAAAAGTTAAAATACAAAAATACCAAAGGCATGCATAAAAAATAAATATGAATACATTTTGATTACATACCTACACAATAGATATCTAAGCAGCACACACTTCAATAATGATAAAGTATGAGGTAATACATTTTTTAATAAAGTGTTTTGTTTTTTTTATCCGTGTACACTGTGTTAAAACAAGATTTGTCAAGATTAGTCTGAACTGTTACTTTATTTTCTCATTCAAAGGAGGAAGTTTCTTGTATCTTTTTAAAACATGTATATTTTTTTTGTCTCATTGGCAAATCTTGTCATTCAAAATGTGTTCAAATTAAGACACATTATACATGCTAAATTTGAGCAAATTTTTACTTATTTTTCATCACTTTTTGCAGTGTAGAACCATGGTGATTGTCTGCGGTGCCATCTTGGATCAAAATTGTCATTTCAAAGTTACAAAGTTAAAGACGACCTACCCGCCGATGCCAGAGGTCTGAGGGTGAACAATCCCCAAACACAGAGAGGTAGCGATGGCAGCATCGACGCTGGAACCCTGCTTTTCCAGGACTGCCATGCCCACAGAGGTGCACTGAGCGACATCCGACACAACTGCTCCTTGTTTAAACACCTATTTCCAAACAAAGTCAATCAGAATCAGAATCCTTTGCATTGCTATTGTATCCTACAGTTCTGCAGGTCTTTACTTCCGGCTGCTGTCAGGCTGTACAACAAACAATGAGGACTAACAGACACTGCTGACCCAAACTCACATGTTGTGAATCTGTACAATAATTTTTATTACATTTTGCAAACAGGTGTCCTATATTTGATAGATCCCAATGGAGTTTATCCTTGACCCAAGAGCAATTATAGCTTTAGAGTTTATCATTTTATTATCTTAGTAGTATAATAGATCCTGTTTCTTGTGTGCATATTCGTGCTCACAGTATCACTCAGACACACGTGTCTTTTTGCACTAGAGTGAAACTATCTGTGCCAAGTGTGACATGTAAATTTCCCCATATGTGATCAATAAAGTTTATCTGATCTTCTATTCTGCCGTAATGTGCACTTCTGTGACATTGAAACATTCCCACTGTGGGACAAATAAAGGTTTAACTTAGTCCCAAATACGAGGAATACATACCTGAGGGTCCCCAAAGTAGATCTGCATGATGAGTGCAATCGTGACTCCGAAGGCAAAGGTGAGACAAGACGTGATGATAACCGTGAGTCCGTCGCGCTGGCAAGCACACTCCTGAGTGAACGGATCAGCATCCGTCTCTCTGAAAACACCATCCTCCTGAAGGCCCAGGTCTGAGGCAGAGGACGGGAGCCGCTGCAGACGAGCAGACTTCAAGAAGAGATCTGGATCTAGGACAGGACAGGACAACCATATACATAGTTCAATTCAATTCAATTTATATTTTTATAGCCATAAATCACAACTCTAGTCCTCTTGGAGGACTTTACAAAGTTCTCAATTCGCCAACATAGATCGGAAAATCAAACTGTTCAATGCTATAATAACAAACACATAGGAGCCATTGGTCCATAAGGGGTGTATGGACAATATCCATAAATGTTAATAAATGTTAATAAATGTCCTCGAATGTCAGTGCCCTTATACCCTACTGCATCGGCAATGCACAACTAAAAAAACCAGCAGGAAAAAAATAGTAACCTCTGGGAGGCCCAGATTGAGAGGCTGTAGATCCAGGATTGCAGTGGTACAAACACAGAAGTGATACACTCAGAGAGATGGGATATAACACTGACACATTCTTGGCCACGTCAAGCCACTTCTGCTGAAAAGCTGTTTTGCAACAAAGAGACTACTTACATCTAAATGTGTCAACAATATCACCAAGCACACAAGAGGCATAGATAGACTATTTCTGAACAACGGAGATTAGACCAATTTCACCTTTCAATATCAGACTCTTTTTTTCCAAAGGTGTATATAGGATATAGGCTAATAACTGAGACATAACATAATTGCACTTCCTGAAACATCTGATTCATTTATTTTACCCACGAAGATATTCCATCCATCCATCCATCTTCTACCCTTTAATCCATTTCTGGGTCAGGGGGGTGGCAGTCAGAGATGCCACCCAAGTCTCATAGCACCAGCCCCTCACTGACCCTCTGCAGGTGGTGAGTCCACAGGAGGACGGCTGCTCTCTGAGTGAGAGCACAGCCTTGATCTTTCAGTGGGGGCTTTGGGCAAAGTGGGGTTAAGTGTCTTGCCCAAGGACACAACGACAGCAGTCATCAGTGGGAGTCGATGGAGAAGGTGCAGAGGTGGGAATTGAACCCACGACCTTCTGGCCTTAAGGCCAATGCTCTACCAACTGAGCTACTGTCGCCGAAGAAGATATTCTATCTTTTATATTCACAGGAAAGTATTTTTGCCTTGTTATTTTGTCACATCATTTGTTCAATCAGAAAGAGAGAACCAGCCCTCACACAGCCAATCAACTCCCAGTCTGTAAAAGATACAATGTTTTCTGAAGTGGTCAGATTTGTTAGGGTCTAACTAAAAGGATGATAATCCAGACATTTATGGACATTTATCCAGATCTATGGATGTGTCAACACCCCTTATGGACCAATGGCTTTATGTGGTTTTTATGCATTTCTTATGTTTGAACGGTTTGATTTTCTGATCTGTGTTGGTGAATTCAACAGTTTTGTTAAGTCCTCCGAGATACTTACTGTTGTGATTTATGGGTATACAAGAATAAATGTAATTCAATTCAATTTGTTCACAAAATGTTACTCAACCAAGACTGTTTGAACAAACAACAGCAATTAATGATTCAAAAAAGTGTGACACTTTAAAAAGGGCATATGCCACGGATCAATTCTCTTGGTGATTTGACATGTGTAGATAGTGATAATCAGGAGACGTACCTGCGTCCTGCTCAGTGAGAGCATTGTCATCTTCTTTCCGACTTTTCAAAGAATTTTCTGCAAACATCGACTCATCCTCTGGTAATTTTGGGAAACTTGTGATGCTCATGTAATCCACGGGAGAGTAGGCACTGCCCAGAGAGGTCTCTGGACTGGGCTCTTTCTCTCTCACTGCTGATCCCCCACTGGGAAAACCTGGCCCAATATCAGCTGCAGGACTGTGCATGTCTGCTTCAAAAAATTGCAGACACCAGAATTATCCTATTGGGTCCTCGTCATTTAAATACAAGAGCATATATTTCTTGAATTATAATATTTCTAGCATCTTTAAAAGCATCACGCATTATCTACAGTGAGGTGTGGGCACGAGGCAGTTTCCATTACGTCTCCACCTGCAAAATAATAATAACGTTGATGTCAATAGAATATGACATGAGAAGAATGTGTCCCATTATATATTCAAAAATACGACAATCAATACATTCAAATCAATACTACTTCAAAACTTATAATTGAAACATTTATTGACACTCGCTTCCGCAAATATTTACAAACAGATTAGCCTTCGCAGAGCTAAAACACCGACCAGTGTTTGTGTATGGGGGAAACATGGCGACGCACGCAGGGTCAATCATGTCCCACATCATGGTTATTACTATATACGTGTTTGGACGCTCACCTCTGGCTGGACAGGACCGGGTTGGACCTCCTGGAGTCTCGCTGAGGTCTAGACGCTGCGCTCGCTCTGGTTATGATGGTGGAGAGACACAGGATTTACGACAAGTGTCCAGTGCGTCACGTGGGGAGCCTTCAGCCAATGGCGAGAGGGCAGATGAGCGCACCTGACAATCCATGTAAAGCAGGAATAAAAACGAAACTAAATAACTCAAAATATTAAAAGAATGAACTTATGATATAAAGCTGAGCGTAATGATGGATAAAAACCACTCTGTGTCTGTCTATAATGGAAGGTATCTGAAAACACCATTCTTATCTATATTTACAGGAGTTTTATAAGCAAGCTAATCAAGATAAATGTTTATGAGAGATAAGATACAATAAAATGTTATATTGGCTTTGTTTGGCTTCAATACGATCACTCAGGGTGTGCAAATTGACAGGAAAGGGGCAGATAAAAAGTAAAAAAGAAATACGGCAAGATATACGGCATCTCAAAACTGCACAAACCATGTACAAAGCTAACATCAATTACAGTCTTTGTCCAATGTAAGGGAAGATGTCCACATTTAAAAGGACAACAACATTTTAAAATGAGGAGATGCCGTACAGTAGAAAGCGTTTCTGTATTTCAAATTGTCTCAGTGTTGAACTAAAATTATCCCAAAATCTGTGATTTGGGTGCAGCTCTGACTGCCAACCCATGTAAATATTTATATATTAGATAAGTCAAGAGGGTAGGAATCGGATCAAATAAGTTTTAAACTGCCTCCAACTCCTTTTGAAAATTATGTCCCGAGTGTGTATTTAGAGTTGCCAGACATGGAGAGGCAGCATTTCAAACTCAAGAACAGTCTTACGTAAAATGTGAGACAGGCTTCCCCTCTGACAATGCTTAAATCCAAGGTTAAAAACTGTTGTGTTTTGCTGCATACAAATGAGGGATTGTATCTTCACTCTTTTGAATGTACCGTGATTATTTATGATTTTAATGCCTGTGTAAGAACACTACAAATAAACTTCCATTTCCTCACTTTGCTTTAGTCTTACCCAAAGCATCTGTGGCTGCAGTGTTTACCCCAAGGAGTCCAGAGAGAATAATGAAGGCCACATGAAGCGTCTTTGAGTGTCCAGAAAAGTGCTGTATCAAACCAATGCATTCTTCTCATTATTTAAATGTTTGACATATTGTGTAATACTTATAACTGGTAGGTTTCTGTTTTGCATTGTGCTTCAATTTAAAGGTATATAAGGGGATTTTCTACCTTCCGGGTGGATCAACACGACTATTGGTCCTCCCAATTGTCAATCATTCTGGTGATGCGGGCTTGTCAAATAAGATCAAAGGCCAGTTCTCCCCTAAAATTTGGGAAAATCCTTCTTTATACCTTTAAATATACTTTACCGATATATCCGTAGGAGAGGGTTGCCTAAGATTTTTTTGTGCAATAATGTAGGGTATTTAGGATGTTTTCATTTTAAAGATGGGATCCCTAACTTTTTAGTTTCATATATAACATATATTTTTGTTTAACTCCTCATAGAAAAAAACAAAACAAAGACTGCAAAATCCTGTCTGTATCTTTTTTCAAACATGTGAAAAAGAGCTTTGTGAGTAATATGCCTTTTGTGCAGATCTGACGCTGTGACAGAGGCCAAAAAGTTACAAATCTGTTCTCTTTATGATTTTAAATTCTTACTTTAAGCTTTTCAAAGTCAACCACTGATTAAAATGTGTATTTGAAACTTGAATCTAAAGCTGTTTATTGTGTTGCTTTTTGTGTTGCTAAATGTTTTTTCAAATCAAATACAGTACATTCCCATCTTTTGTGATTTGGTCAATTGAACCCTGTAGCTTTAAGAAACACTTAAGAATCAACTGTGTCTAGGCCGCGCCTGACCTGGTGACCAAAACCAGCGACTGGTTTTATGTCTTGAGTAAAAGCAGCTAAACAGGTTCCAGTTCATCAGAAAAAGACTTCCATTTCGGATTACCTCTCGGCCACTCCCCTGAGCCAACGAGCAATTCTCAGCGGCTATTGGATCTGGCATAAAGAGACATGTGCAAACTGTGGCCCAGGGGCATAACACGGCCCCGGGAGAAACAGTATGTTGTCCGACAGCTTCCGTCTGATTTGGAACACATAGAATGGTCTATGATTGAAACATCCTTATTTAACAGTTTAATGGGAAACTGAGATTATATTAAATCTGGGGAATAGCACCTTTTCCCTCATAAATATAACGTTTTATTTGTGCCAACAGTAAGAGCAAGAGTTAAAGTAACATTTCGTGAACAAAAAAAACGTGATAAAACTAAATCCATATTTTCTAAATATTATTTTGTGATTTACAGTGTGAACCCTGTAGTTTCAGGGAATTAAAGGAAATGTTTGATAGACGTGCATAACACAGATAACATTTGGTTCCCTTCTCTGTCTGTTCAATAGGCCCATTGTATACTTGGCTGATTAGGCTACTGGAAAAACGTCATGGACTGGGTTTGTGAGTTTTCCTCACGGATGCAAGAGGATGATCCAGGACATTTATAATATGAACATTTATGGACATTGATGGACCTGCTTTATATCGACCAGTGACTCTTACTGGTCTCTTGTTTTTGTGTTTTGTTTGAGTTTTAATGGTTTGAACAACAATGTTCTGACAGTTTTGTGATGCCCTTCAAGACGACTGATGGTGTGAAAATCATTCAACTTAAAAATTAGGCATCATATTTTGACTCATAGATTTGTCACATGTAGTGTAAAGCTGGGGTATCTAATTTTGTGTGGTAGACCACAACATTATCTTTACCTTACTGAGAGCTGATTGGCTGAGTGAGGGCTGGTTCTCTCAATGATAAAGCAGATCTAAAAACGTGACGAAAATACAAGCATGTGATAACTCTATTCCCTCATCAGTCCCAGACTGGTGTCATGAGGGCAGCTCCTCCCTCCTGTGTCTCCTCCTCCCCTCCCCTTGTGTGTTTTGTGAGTCTCCTTTCCTGTCTAAATTTTTTGTTGTTGTACATTCTTCTTTAGAATGTATGTTAATACACATATGGCGTTTTTCCCCCAGGACATATATGGACCTTGTTTATATCATTTTAGTTTCTCAAATTGAACCACCACAGCATTTAAGAATTGTTCTTCTACATTTATTTACAATGGCGGGTCATTTCGGTCTGGAATAGCACAAGGGTCAAAATCATTTGGATTTTGGTTCTGAGTTTGGATTCTTTTTTTAAAACGTAAAACCTGAAGTTGTTTTTGAATTCTTCCATGCTAATATCAGGAACTTCTGATATAAACATGACCCCTTCTGTCTTGCTATGTCTATTAAAGCCAAAGTATTGTCCATAAAACAGTGTTTGAAAATTCAAGCAAACGTTCTTTACAATCACGTAATTGCAGAATTTCAAATTTGGAAAAAAAAAAACAAAACAAGTTCAACTCCTGTTATGGAAATTCTATTGCCTCAAATGAATGAAACCGAGAGGAAACAAACTTGTCCTTTGGTGCAGTTTTATTCATAGAAGTGATGAGTACAAAAATGACATTTTCTGCGCAGAAAAGAGTCAAACAGAAGCGGGACCTGGAGCGATGCCGCGTCCGTCTGTTCTCCCCAACAAACATGTCTTATGATCTTATACTGGAGGTGTGTCAGACAGAACAATGCACATTCGTCACAAGAGAGATGAGTCATACGCGGCTGCAGACGGGAAAGTTTGGGAGATACATTAAGCGCACTGAAAGGACCTTCGAATTTGATAAGAAGGAACACGCTGTGAGTACATTTGAGATAGGCCCATGCAGATGGTGACCAAGGCTATCGCTGAACAAGAGGCCCTTTGTGCTAATGTTTCAAACAGTGATGGGAAGCGGGTTTTCAGACGCTGGGAAAGAAGACGCATGTATCGACCTAAATGATTAGAATATCTTGTGCCGGGAATCTGGCCATAACAATCCACCCTTTGATTATCTTAAATCAATCACACACATGCTATTAAGTACTAAAAATATATCAAGTACTAAAAATATAAGTAAAATATAAGTAAAATATAAGTAAAATATAATAAACCCCGAAACATCAAAACTTTCACACCTAGTAGGTTTAAGAAAATCCGTCATAAAATGGGTTAGACATACAAACCAATTTACTCAAAATCATCAAGTAACATCTCACTAAATGGATCACTGTCCTCATCAAGACAGTCAACATGCAGGTTAAGAGAAGTGTGTTGAACGAGTGTCGACGAGATCATACGTCGGATCAATGAACGGATCAAAGGAATGACACAACATGACAGCACTATTAGCAGTACTAATATTACTCCAAGTCCAGTACCTATTTGAACCAACCACGCTCGCCAGTCTGAAAACCATGAAGCATCTAGAACAAAATCACGGTTAACCGCATCGCGCAAAGTGGTTAGATTTCGAATACCCTGTGCAATGATCCCATCATCGGCACTGTTATCAGGAATATAAGTACAACAAGCGGTCTGATTAAGTAAAACACAAACACCTCCACTTGAGGCAACCAAATGATCCAAAACAATCCTGTTTTGTAAAGCAACGGCACGCAACGCATTTACTTCTACTCTGTTGGCCTCTAGAATAGTTACAGTTGAATTCACAAAACTTGAAAACCGATAATTCAAGGTTTCCATTCTAAGCATAACCTTCCCTACACCGACCTGGGGGAACAAGGAGAGAAGTACTTTTGTTGGCTTGGTCCACAGTTTGTGATCATCTGGAACGTCCGTCCCCCAAACTGCATCATGAGCAGCAAAATCGCGCTTACCTCGCGATCTAGGAATGGTAGAGATGATGTAAGAGTGATCTGAAGCTATCATCAGAGCACAACGACCTATCCAATTAAATGGTAGCTTCACATAGACATTGAAGCCACACAGCCACAAAACACCCTTCAGAGGATTAGTTCCTGTTGAGTCAGGAACCGTGAAGTATGGAGCACATGTACTACCCCGGAGCGGCCTGAGAAGTGTTTAAACTTGAATTACCATGAAAAGAAGTACACGGGTTAGACACATTTAAACAAAATGACATAGGGATCCGTCCCATCTGTATAGGAGAATCTGTAATGGTCATGGATAGAGTGTAACATACAAATTTAGTACCAGGTCTGATATGTACCGGGCCAAAAATTGGATCTAATTCATCATTAAACCAATAATTGAAGAAATCAGAACTAACAGCCGGTTTGAGTGGGGGGAGACATTTACCTGTACGCTTTGTGACGGTCTCATTGAAATAATCAACAGAGACAGATGAATACAGAATCTTTGGAAAATGTGTAAATGCATTTGTTAGGGTTATACAATACCTTATCATGCCATCCTCGCACAGGATGGCATCTGGTTGAGGTCCCGCAGGTCCCATTCCTACGTTGGGGGGAGCTGCAAACAAAATCTCAAATGGGGACAGGTTGTTACGCGTGCGCACTCTCATTCGCATGTACATCAGGACAATTGGCAAGCATTTTGGCCAGCTAAGGTTTGTTTCCTGACAGCATTTGGCCAGTTTTGATTTTATAGTGAAATTTTCTCTCTCAACAGCTCCACCAGACTGTGGGTGATAGCTGCAGTGAGTTTTCAAATCAAATTTCAAATAATCAGACAGTTGTTTTATCACTTCATTAACAAAATGCGACCCATTATCGCTGGACAACTTCTGAGGAATTCCCCATTTTACAAGAATTTCAGTCAAAATGGCTTTTGCTACTGTAGCGGAGGACGCATGTTTTGCAGGGAAAGCTTCAACCCACTTTGAAAACATATCCACCATTACAAGACAAAATTTTTTCCCTTCACTGGGTGTTAATTCAATGAAGTCCATCATGACATGTTCAAACGGTCTTGTAGGAGCTGGGTGAGCTGCTTGTGCCAGAGACCTCGGCCTACCCGGGTTATTCTGTGCACAGATCAGACAGCTTCTACAAAACTCTGCAGCAAATGTAGAAAATCCTTTTGTAAACCAAAATTGTTGGACTGCTTGAAACATATTCCCCTTTGACACATGGTCCAACCCATGTGTTAACTTAGCATAGCAATTAAATAATCTTTTGGGAAGGCATGGCTTCAAATCTGGGCCTACCCAGACGCCATTTTGGAAAACAGCACCAGACTCCGCCCACGTGCGCCGCTCTTCAGGGGAAGAGAGTGAGCAGAGGTCCTTCAGAGAGGCGGGAGGGGAAAGAGGAGGGGTCTCTGGGGAGACAGCATGGGGCAGGGAGAAGGAAGCTGATGAGGGGAGGAGCTGTTTAGCAGCAAGCTCTCGCAGCTCTGTCCGCCCTAGCGTTACCCAATGAAACAGAGTCCGTTGCACCTGTGTGGGCAGAACATTTACACACTGCAATCTGAGATGGGAGCAAGATAGCCTCTAACAATGCTGCAACATGTGTGTGGTGTAAAATTGGTTTTCCGTCAGATTTTAGAAAGTTTCTATGTTTCCACAGTGCCCCAAAATCATGCGTCACCCCAAATGCATAGCGGGAGTCAGTGAATATTGTAACAGACCGTCCCTTTGCGTATGCACACGCCTCTGTCAACGCCACCAGCTCTGCCAATTGTGCCGAGTACATCGATGGTAGAGAGGAAGAAAGAACGACTGAATGGTCGTCCACCACAGCGTATCCAGCATGCGACCTTCCGGTGTCCGGGTCTCGATATGCTGATCCATCTACATAGAGAATTAAATCAGGGTTAGTCAATGGTGTATCAGAAAGATCTGGTCTTGGAGTACAGATCTGATTCAGCTCTGCCATGCATGAGTGCGGTGTGCCCTCTCCTGGGAGGGGTAACAATGTGGCAGGATTAAGTGTAGAACATTTATGGACAGTCACATGTGGCAATCCCAAGAGTGTTGTGTGATATCGGAGCCATCGAAGATGCAGAAAGATGTGAAGATTTCTGCTCCTGTAGTATCAAAGCAACAGAATGTGGAACAAACAACAAAAGCTGACAGAATCCAACAAAGTCACGTGATGCCAATACTGCTGTTTCACACGCAGCTATGGCTCTTAAACAAGCAGGGAGACCTCTCGCCACAGGATCAAGAAGTT